TACCATTTATACTAATACTGTTTTACCACAATTAGTACTATTCTTACCACTCATACTACAATTTCTCCTTATACTACTACAGTTGCTATTCATAATTCAGCTACCGGTACTATTACTGCTACTATTACTGCTACTCTTACTGATACTATTACACGTATTACCCCTAATACTGCTGCTATTGTCACCACATAGACAATTACAATTTATGCAGCTACCAGTACGATTATCGCTACTACTACTTTTATTACTACTATAACTGCCTCTTTGTCCACCACCGTAAACATAACTGTTGCTATGACAACTGTTGTTATTACCACTAATAATGCTACTGTTACTAGTAAGCTAGGGTGATACGTGCTCCTTTTACATCCGGAGACTTGGCATCAACCTTCTTTATCCTTAGTAAAAGATGCCGCGGTCTGACGTCACAAGTGATTGGTTTTTTCGTGTGGCTATAGAAGCCACCCGCTTTATCCTTAGTAAATATCGATCGCGTGGCTCATGACGTCACGAGTGATTGGTTTTCGGGAAGAGCTGGGATTTCAAGTGGGAGTCCCTGGTTCGAATCCTCGGTTTTGTTGTGGTTTGTTTAGAAAAAATGAAAATCCTAACCTGCACAGTTCGTGGCGATAGCACTAGCCATACGGCGAGGTTCAAATACCCTCGTGTTTATGTCTCAAAATATGATTCTAGCCAAATGTTCGATACAGTACGCCTTAAGACGTGGTTTCCTTTTTTTTTTAAATGATAGCAAATATTTGGAATGTTCCCGCCTGCTCGTTTCACGTCACACTTGCGTGACTTAGAGAAAATATCAAAAGGACGTGAACTACCCGGGACCTCTGAAGGATGCTTACCACTTTGCACGAAACCTACCTTTCTCGTTATTGTGTTTTTCGTGAGTCAGTTTCTTTCAATACAACTTCATTACTCTATTCATCTGTCCTTGGTGTTCTCGTCATACCACGCCTCTGTTGCTTCCGTAAAATTTCTCACTGACCTGCTGCTTGTTCAGGATTTATTTCCGTAGATGAGGACTTTTTCTTCTTCTTCGGTTTCGTATGCTCAGATCAGACCATCAGGTGGGTTGCCTCTATAAACTCGCATGTCCTGCAAGGTTCCCCATAGCTTGCTCTGCGCACTTTGCTCTTGAGACAGTATAGTATATCTATAGCCTCTTCGTACTGCTGTTGAAACCTAAGGCATTCACACATGATCCCCATTGCTGGCGGTCTGTTGCTTATCTGCCCATAGTATTTCATTCAATTTTTACACTCCTTCATTTCCCTTCCTATTGTCCTTCTCCTAGTTTCCTTAGTCATCCACGTCCGCTTTCTCCTTCCGCCAGAGAATGCCAAAGTGTCACTAGACATTCTGCAAACATGTTCACCCCATCTCCATTTTCTTCATTTGGTAACGATTGGTACTAGACTGCTCTGAAGAACTCTTTTCGAAACAAAATTTATGCGAGTTTCACACGGTGTATATCTGTGTTCTTTTTTTTAGGGGTGCGTTTTTATTTCATTTGCGACTTTGCAATAGCCAGCAGATATCTGAATTTTCAACGGTGAATGATTTGTTAACACAAACAACGTACACAAATGTCGCGACGCCGAAGAAGCCAAGGCAAACGATCCTATGATAATGGGGGTAGGCCTTTGCCATATTTTTTTAATAATATAAAAAAAACAGCGTCGTGCGACAAATAAGGTCCGTCTGGGTCAGAGGTATACTCAACTCTCAAAATAAACCCATAAAATTAAAACGTCCCTGGGTGGGCTTGAACCACCAACCTTTCGGTTAACAGCCGAACGCGCTAACCGATTGCGCCACAGAGACATGTAGCAAATCAATGCGCATGCTTATTTTGTTACTTTTCCTATTTTATTACCTATTCTTTTTACTCTTTTTGTCTGTCTGTCTCTCTTTATTTATTTCACACAGACACACATATGTGTGTGTGTATTTTTTATTTATATGCTTTTTAAAAAACCTTTGTTTTTGTATCACTTTAAGGCTATCTTCCCAATAATGGTCTCAAATTATCGATGCAGAAAATATACCCTAACAGAGCCTCAGTAGCGTGTCATTTGCGCACTTCCAGCGACTAGACCGCCATCGCCGAACTGCGTACTTCCGGGGACTAAACCGTCACCGCCGAGAGTATCCCAAACGCCGCTAACGCGGCGTGGGGCTAAACTAGATGGCTGGGACTCATGAGCAAATAAAATAATAGCAGCTGCAGGAAATGCGGTAGCTGCTGCTCGTGAGTCCCTGCCATCTAGTTTAGCCCCAATCCATGCCGCGTGAGCGGCGTGGAGGATACCCTCGGCGGTGGCGCAAGTTGCAGGAAGTGCGCTATTTAAGTTGCCGGAAGTTTGCGATTGACACGTGACTGAAGCTCTGTTAGAAAATATTTTCTGCCTCGAAAATTTGGGACCGTTATTCGCAAGATAGCCCACTTTAATAAATATTATGTGTGTCCCAATCTGACAGTTCAAAAAAGAGACTGGTTTTATGGCCAAGGAAAAAAAAATTGTCATTCATGAAGCAATCATTGCTGCAATGCATGTCATTCAAACAAGCACTAGTGTTCTAATATGTGGGACAAACTGAAACGCAGTCAAGTCAGCAGACGACAAGTAACGCGCCCTTTTGTATAGCCAGTGAGAATTGATTACAGCACAGCTACCATATTTTGCACCTTTGGATCGGCACATCCGACTTCATCGGGCATTTGTTCACTGGGCGAACCTTCCCGGGTTATTTCATGGAACATGACGTAACCGTATTTAGGGGGCTTTCATAAATGCAGATCCAATGCAAGTCCTGCGCTCGCCCAAGTAATTAAATTCAATGTTTCGTTAACTCTACTGCTGGTATTAAGTAGTCTTTAAAGGAATGTTTCCTTGTTAGAAATTTGAAGAAAGAAGTCACAAATCATAAATACATTTTCACATATAATCCAAACGTTAACATGTACTGATTGGCAATCATGTAAAGAAGAAAAGGATTATCACATTATGGGGAGAAGTCATTGAGTAAAGGCAATTGCACGAAAGTATAAGACCCCTTTTCCGCTCCTTCAGGCGTATTGGCATTATATAGAACTAGACATATTTTATAGACTAATCGGCACTTGGTGGGTGATATGGTCAAAATCAAATTGCATGAAAATTTGTTTTTTTTACAAGCGGCTGGAACAAAATTATTCTGCGTCTTATTTCTTAACAGTCTCCCTGCCTTGCAACACATGTAGTCCACCAGATTGTAGATGCCGGCCGGGTAAAAGCTTTTGTGTGTGGCCAGTAACCAGGTGTGCACCACTGACATGACTCATTGTCATGTGCAAATGTTTTATCAGTGGGCCAAACAAATGAAAGTCTTATGGTGCCAAGGATGGGCTGTATGTTTCGGTGCTTCAAACAGCAGAGTTTATAGTGTATCTACTGCTTGGTCAGCCGTGGTGTGAGGGTAAGGGGGTTTACGGGGGAAAAGACACACGTTATGACCTTCCCAGTTAAAGTTTGTGTCTTGAATTTTTTCGGTGGCGGTGACGCCGAATGCTCCCACTGAATCGATGGTCTCTCACTCTGGTTCATAATGGTGCAGCCAGGACTCATCACTTGTCACAGTTCAAAGAAGAAAGGCATCTCCTTCGCATGCACAGACGGTTCAAATGCTCCTGACAAATCGTATGCCTAGTGTGCTTCTGTCGGCTCTGTGGCTAATTCCATGCGAACGCTTCGTAATGCCAGGTTCGATCTCAGCGCCTTGTGTTGGTTTCGACAGTGGTTTCAGGGTGCCGACCATTAAGTGACGAACTACTGGACATAAATTTGCCTACAGAAACCACACAACAGCCAGGGGCTGCTGGGTTGGTTCTGCAAAGTCCTGTAAAGGATACACAACTTACCTAAGTGTGCTTCTGTTACAACTTCCTTGGAACCCATCTACTGCACACTTTCCTATACCCACTAACATCATTAACATTCTGTATGCAGCACCGCAACTCTTGTGGAATTTTATAGCAAGTTCATCAACACTGTCTCGTCTTTTGTCACTGCTCTACCTGCTGTTTTACTGTCTCAGTTGCCACGCTAACAGGTCTGCCATGCCACTTGTCATCACTGTCGTTATCCCTTCAATTTTTAAATCTTTCCAGATAGCTTTCACATGTTATTCCTACAAAGAATACTTGGTGTTAGGTGGCAAGACAAGATCTCAACCGATGAAAAAAGCAGGTATCACAACAGATACCTCTATGCTCAGTCTCAAAATGCTAGGACACACTAAGGACATCCTCTGAAGATACATAGATGATGTTGAGGTTGACCTATACCGAGGCCAGTCAACTGGTGTCCAGCCCCAGAAAATGAACACCTGCCAATTGTATTGTGTTAATGATCATCTACGCTTCAGCTCGTGCTTTCAGGTCCGCATCATTCCTATTTTTTAATATTTTGGTCCCTGAGTAGATTTAGTTTAATAGCCCTGGCCTGTGATATATGTAGATGTGTGAGCATGGGACATGAATGATAGAGGTATTGAGGTGGATTTATGGGAACAGGATGCAGTGAACCTTGCTGTATGGTGGGTGAAACAAAGGAAGAGGATAAGGATACAAAAAAAATGACTGCAATAGTTTTAGAATTTAACATCAGAGAAAAAAGCGTAATAAATACATGTGGCGACAGCAATAGTCCTGAAATCCCCTGCTCTGACTGTGAAATACTTCTCTTACCACGTCGGGTCTTGCTAGTCAAAGTCACCATGAGCTGTGAGTCCCAAGCCTCCCTATAGCACAATATAACACTAACATCTGGGAAGACGGGAAGGTATTACACAAACTATAACATAAGAACAGAAATGACCACAACAAATGATGACAATAAAATTTATTCAAACAGCGATCATGTAACAACGTGACAGTTTGGCGACAGTTCTGAGGAAACTTGTGGTAGTATTTACACAAGATGATTATGAATGTACACATGATTTTATGTTTGATCAGCAGCTCTACTAGCCAAAACTTCTTGATATTCTTCTTGAGACTTCAACTGGAGCATTTCCCGTTCAAACCCTTTGAGGCCAGGTAACAGAACAGCCAGATATCCTTCTCCGCAAGGCTGAGGAATACAGAAAGATGATACAGCAGGTCATTTCATGTGTGAGAATAATACATATACCAAGATGATACAGCTTGTCATTTCATGTGTGACTACAATACATATACCAAGAGATGGATAACAACAGCAGGTACAGCCGGTTTCATGTGTAACAACAATAGGTATACATATACCAATAGGTATACCAAGATGATACAGCTTGTCATTTCATTTGTGACAACAATACATATACCAAGATGATACAGCAGGTCATTTCATGTGTGAGAATAATACATATACCAAGATGATACAGCTTGTCATTTCATTTGTGACTACAATACATATACCAAGATGATACAGCAGGTCATTTCATGTGTAACAACAATAGGTATACCAAGATGATACAGCAGGTCATTTCAAGTGTAACAACAATACATATACCAAGATGATACAACAGGTCATTTCAAGTGTGACAACAATACATATACCAAGATGATACAGCAGGTAATTTCATGTGTAACAACAATAGGTATACCAAGATGATACAACAGGTCATTTCATGTGTAACAACAATAGGTATATCAAGATGATACAGCAGGTCATTTCAAGTGTAACAACAATACATATACCAAGATGATACAACAGGTCATTTCAAGTGTGACAACAATACATATACCAAGATCATACAGCTTGCCATTTCATTTGTGACAACAATACATATACCAAGATGATACAACAGGTCATTTCATGTGTGACAACAATACATATACCAATATGTGGTATACCAAGATGATACAGCAGGTCATTTCAGGTAACAACAATCATATACAAGATTCATGTGTATACCAAGATGAACAATATTTCTGTGTAACAACAATACATATACCAAGATGATACAACAGGTCATTTCCTGTGTGACAACAATACATATACCAAGATGATACAGCTTGTCCTTTCATGTGGTCGTGGGTTCCTTTCATGGCAGTGCCATTCAATTCACAAGTGCAATTTTTACGGAGACCCCTATGGATCACTTCTGGAGCCACAGTGTCCCTACCTTGTGCACTGCTCTCTGCAGTCTTGCTAGCCATTCTGCAGAGACAGACCCAGCCATATAGGATAAACCTGAGGGAATTTAGTCGATCTTCTTTACTTTAACTTTGATGTCAGGTCTGATATACTCCTGTGGCAATAAATTCATAGTATTGTTACAACACAAAACTGTCAAAGCCATTCACCGAAATGTTCACATTCACATGAATGGCTACCAGTAGATGAACCAGCAACACTGGAATCAGCAGCAAAAATAATCGTTCCTATCAATGTTTCTTAGCCCACCAGCAACATGGATACATGAATTCAGTCTCCTTCCTTCATAGTCATTACTAATGCACACTGGCAACGGCCCTTTCTCCTGTTTCCTGTTTTACGAAGAGTGTTTCTTGCATGCTGCTTATTCATACATGGTATGCCAGTTGGTAGGCATATTGTGAACAACCTGTGATATATGCTGACGAAAGATATTGTGTGTGTGTGTGTGCTGAAAATGAAACACAACTGCAAGAAATGGTGGACTAAACTGTTACAGAAAGTCAAAACTGGGGTCTTGGTTTGAAAAGCAAAACAATAATGGTAATTATAAACCAAAGCAAAACAAAAATGGACCCTCCAAAATGCAGCATCACAGTGAATGGGATAATCCTCAAACAAGTTGATATGTTTAATAAATAGGGTACCAAGATAACAGCAGACTGAAGGTGTGTTAAAGAAGTTAAATGTAGATTAGCTCAAGCAAATACAGCATTTTACAAAATGACAAATATTTTATGCAATCTTTCTTTGCATGCAGACTGTTGGTTTCTTGCCTCTCAAGCAGATGGACTCTGACTTCAAAGGAAGCCTCCAATTAGTCGACTCTTACAACATGCTTTTCTGGAAAAGCAGTGAGTCTATTCTTGTTTTTCCCACACAGGGGCCCCCGGAGAAAGATCATCTATGTCATAAATGATTAAAAGTACACGAGACAGAAGGTTGTGGATGACATGACTACTAAGACACCACATGGCATGGACTATAATAAGATAAAAGTTTTTTTTTTTTGAGTCTCCCACCTTGGCAACTGTTCCTTTTGAGTCTCTAATCCTGTTCAATGTTCAGAGATGAAGATGGCCTGGTGGCATGTTTAAGCTTTGCTTCTCTACCGTGGTTATTATTGTTATTTTTTTCAGGCTAACCCAACCAGACATGTTTTGGTTTGACCCTTCCTCTCTGGTAACTGTTCCTCTTTCACCTTTCTCATATTCCCTGAGTACCAAAGACACCTCATGGACTTGTTTTATTCGGGCATAAAATGCACACTTTGGTATCCAAGACAAGAAAAATGCCTCACTGCCAACTGAGTTGAGTTGAGTCAAGAACTGACATCACAGCACTCTGGGTATTCCCATGTGTGTTCCATCCTCATCTTCAGCAGTCAGCACAGAGTTCCCATTTTTACTCTCTCTTTGCTGCACGCTGAAGATGACGTCAAGTGCAGAGCATGTGCTCCGTAGCTCCTGTGACAATTAAAGTAAGAAAAGGGCCCTTTGTGTGTCAGTAGCACATCAAGTATATATGATGCTATAATTATGTTTTTAATAGACCAATCAGCACTCGGTGGGTGATATGGTCAAAGTTATGCTGCCGCATTTACCTCCCAGAACATTTCCGGTTCCCATTTTAGGCTGGATCAATCTTGGAGCAAATGACAATTTATGGAGATTCACAGCTTTTTGTTCTCTAGAAAGGAAGGTACAAACATAATGTGTATGTGAAAGAAAATAGTGCCAGTTCTCACCACAAAATGTCTCTTGCAGTAGCTATTAAAATAATGCCTTAAAACAAAGATTCCGGTACAGTGTACTGCGATGTAGAGATCTATACAGCAGTTAAACTGACATTTTAGAAGAATATTGTGATTCAAACGTTTTACATCTGAAAACGTTTTACATCTGAATACAATACAATGCACAAGAAAATCTTGAAAAAAAAACAAGATCATAATGTTATTCTTACAGACTGGATTATTTTTACCAGCACTGTGGTATCAGTGCCAAACCTGGATATTAACACACACAAACAAGAAACAACAGAAAAGAAATGTCTATGACAAATCCTAAATGTAACTAAAAGAGACAGATCAGAAATGATATTAGGAAAGTAGTTGGGACTAAATCAGATACTTAACTACATCAAAAAACAACAGATCAAATGTTTCGGACATGTGTCAAGACTACAACCAGATAGTGCATCACAGACAGCCCTGTCACTTAGATATAGTGGAAGTACAGCAGAGGTCAACCATGCCAGTCATGGATAGATGGAATATCAGAGGCCATAGATATCAGCATCACACAGTGCATAGCATGGCTAGTATGCCTCTTCAAACGCTGAAAGGCAGAACAGGACTAGATAAGAAGATTGGAGGGCCAGGTAAACACTCAGATATCAGCACCACACAGCATACACCAAGGCTAGTATCTGATGCCTCTTCAAACCCTGACGCTGAAAGGTAGGCAGAACATGACTAGAGTGATTACTCCAGCCTTAAAACGTCTTCTTCTTCTTCTTCGCGTTCACCAGGTAAACACTCACTACTGAACTGCAGTCCTGCTCAGTGTTGCGTGTGTGCATCAGTTTCACAGAACACTCACAGACTGTTGGTTCCTTGCCTCTCCGGCAGATGCACTCCGATTCAAAGGAACTCCCAATTAGTCGACCAGCCTTTTGGGGAAACTTGTTTTCCCTTCAACATACCTTTCTCATTACCAGCTCAGGATGATTAATAAGGTTCTCATTGACCTCAATAAGTTGACCTTTGACACAACAACATATCGTGTAGACACTTCCATCACTACATGTAACTTCACACAGTGGAGAGTTAACATCTAACCACTGGGCACCCTGGAGAAAAATGTTAAAAAAAATATAATTAAATATCTAAAGGGTTAATAAGATAAAAAAAAATATTTGACAGAATAATTGACATATCTGGACTGTCCCAATAAGACATATGAATTTTTTTTTAATGTTTAAATTTGTGCAGAAAAGAACTTATATATTTGGATCATACACAAACAAGTAAGAGTTCCTTCCATATCTTCTGTCCATATAGTAATAATAGAGGTCAAGCTATGTGTGGCTCATATGGTATGAAGAGATGGGATTTCATACATACTAGATACAAGCAGTCTTCATGCAGATACTAACATTGGGTATGAAGTTAAAGGTCTCCATAAATTCTAGGCTATGAAATATGTGGTAGGGTGATCAGTTTCATACCTAAATGGCTTTTATTCACAGACATATCACAGAAATAATCTGATACCTATTTCAGTAAGACTGGGCTGACCTCGTGGCAGTAGTGGTCAAAACATTCTGCCATTTCTGGGGAGTGAATCCAGATACTGAACAGTTCAGAATACTGGATTCTCATGCGAAAGACCTTACTTTGAATCTGAGGTAAGGGTGTAGGCACAAATCAAATCATAACCTTGCAGTCTGTGCACTGTAGAGCTGTGATTAATGCCAAAGGATGCAAAACTTAAATTAAACAGTGCAACCTTTAAACCACTGTTAATATCACCACTCTTATGTTTACAGAGAAGCTTTCTTCAAAACTCTTTCCATACTAAAAACCTAAAAATCAGATTAACAAAAGATGTATACATATACATATCTCGGTGTGTGTATGTGTGTGTGCATGCATGCACACATACATATATATATATATATAAAATAACATAGCCCTTGATCTGTTACTGTAGTGGAGATGTACCGATGGAAGCACTAACAAACAAAACCCGCCATAGTTCTCTGTCTTCGGTTTGTTGAACAAGTGTATGATAACTAAGTCCTGTCCATTTCTTGATTTAATTCAGGTCCTTCTCTGCCCATTTCTTCTTTGACGACCACCAAATGTTTTTTGAAGTAGTCTTCGCAATCAAATCATGTCTCACCATGTGCTCAAACCAAGCTAGCTTGCGATGTTTCACCATTGCTAAGATTCTCCTGATGTCCTGCAAATTTGTTTATATTGTCTCGGACATATCTATTAGTTTAGTATTCTAAATAACTAATTCATAAAATTCATCTATAGTATTGGACACAAGCTGTCCACCTTCCACCACACATGTCTACATAGAATTATCAAAATTTTCTGGCCAGATACAATCTCAAACACTAAACTACTTTGTCACAAACCAAGAAACTTTAGACAGTATGATTACCAAGAGAAGATGGAAATGGCTTGGCCACGTTATGAGAATGAATCCTGATGTACCTGCCAAAACAGCTCTCACATGGACACCAGAGGGAAAGAGAAAACAGGGCCGCCCAAAAACAACATGGAGACGAATGATGGAAAGTGACCTGAGTACGGCATCTTTGACATTGAAAACTGCACTGAAGATTGCACAGGACAGAAGAGCATGGAAAGTCCTCTCTGAAGCCTCATGTGCCACTAGGCATAACGAGAACTGATGATGCTGATGATCTATAGTATTTACATTTGAAAGCCTAAATCTTCCTTTCCATTTCTATACTGAGAGTCCAACTCTCGCACCATAAAAGATAATACCAGTGATTTGTAAATATTGACCTTCACTGTGATGTTGATTTTGCTACCCCAAATCATATTCAGCTGGGACATCGTTGCTGCTACCATATCAAGTTTTGTCTTCATATCTTCTGTACAGATGCCATAGTTATATATGTGGGAGCTGAGGTATTTAAAGGTTTCAACTTCTAGTTTTTTCTCTTTTATCTGTATGTTGGTAGGTACTTGATTTTTGTGGCTAATTGCCAGAATCTTGTTTTTCTTGGCATTAACTTCCATGCCATATTTACCATAGTGTGCCTCTAATTTTGTAGCAAGTTCTTACGGAGTTCTGCTTTGGAAATATATGTATCTATGTACATATGTGTGTAGGTGTGTCTATGTATGTTAAATGGTCTCCTTTCTCCATTATATTTATTCTGGATACTTTGAATGAGGTTAAAACCTGCAAGGGAAAAAACATGATTTATTTCAAATTTAATTACTTGCCACATAATTTAGGAGAAAAGATGACATTTAACAGCAACACTAACCCTTTTATTTTTGCCAGAAAACTTGTTGTCCATTCTGTTCCATTTGGCGCTTTCAAAGCTGACTTTTGTGACGGTCTTCTTTTCCTTGAGAACTGGGTGTGAATCGGCCAGACAAACAACACACACTCTGAAAGTGTTTGGAATAAATGCACAACCTTTGTACTTGTTATAGTTATTTCACTCAATAAATTCAGGTCACTGAAGATTATAAAAAAAATGCTTGCATGCTATATAGAGCAGTTTTAGCATATGGGTGTGAATCATGGGCAAGCTAAATAAGCCACATTTTACAGAAGCATCCTTAAAATTCCTTGGAAAGCCAGAAAGAGCAAACAAGATGTTTGAAAGAGACAAGGGCTTGAAGATGACTTATCACAAACATCAGAAAGAGACAGTCATCATTTTTTGGTCAGGTTATGAGAAGAAGAAAATTGGAACATGTGACCACTGGAAAGATCTGTGGAAAAACAGTCAGAGAAAAATAATGTGAGATAATTCTTGACAGCTTTTTGTCATGGCATAGAGGAGTGTCAACCCAAATTTTTTAAAGATCGTAGATTGTGGAGAGGCATGATCACCCACGCCACTCGGCAAGGCACTTGATGATGATGACTTTGATGATCAACTTTGGCAGTCAGATACAACGGATTTCATGGCTGCACACCTAAGGCCTGTCCAGTCAGTCAAGTTGTGTATTCAGGTCTTTCTTGGTCAGCCTCTTCTCCTCTACTGTATGTACTGTTCCTGACAGGCCGTTAGATCTTTCTTTACACGTCTGTATCATTTCAGTTTGTGCCTTTTCACTGTGCAAGGTGTGGTCACGCCTGACACTGCGGGGGGAAGGGGGGGGGAGGGTGACGAGTGAAAATTAGTAGCCTGCTGCTGTTCCCATGATCGCACAAGCCAACCCCTACCTCTCTGTGGTGCAGACTGGAAATTGTATAACATTAGGATACAGTCAAACGGGGAAATGGCCACCTGGAGAGATGTGGGCCTTGCCAGGGTTGAAGAAAAATCCAGAGACGCACCATGTTGACACACTCATTTGATAAAAGAACAACTTCCACAATAATGAAAAAATTACCACTCCTCACATTTCAAAGTAATGAGTATATGATGCTAGCCCCAGATGAAACTTGCACTTGATGGGTTTGGTAAATATCCTAGTGGACACCTCCCCGTGTGGGTTCCGGAACATCAGTGAAAAACTGCAGTGGCATCTCAGTATACATCCTTAATTCATTCCAGATCCTTGAATGTATACCAAATTAATTTTGCCATAAGAAATTAAAGAAAGATGATTAATCCGCTCCATGAAAAAATCTTACAGTTATTGGCACATACGACAGGGTAGGGTTGTTTAAAATATGTTCTGCCAAATACTAAAATATATAAATACAGAAGCAATTATGCTTCTTCTTCTGCCTTCTAACTCCCAATGGAGCTTAGGCCCTCAACCAACTCACACCAGGTCATTCAAACCTTGGCTATCACAAGCAGTTCTCCCCATCTTTTTCACTTCACTTTCTAGCTCCCTTCTCCAGTGTGTTTTTTTTTGTTATTCTTTTATTTCTATGCCCCTGTAGGTTCCAGTGCAAAGACATACCAGTTATATTGTTCTCAGGTTTTCTGATTGTGTACTGTATTTATATACCTGTTTGAGTGTGATAAAACCATTGCATCTTCTCCAACTTTATTCTGCATGTCTGAAACAAACAACAACAAAAAAGGCAACATCAACATACATACAGACCACAACAAATACAAACATGTTAAAATTACTCACGGTGACATTTATTATTATCATTATTGGTGGGTGTCAAGGTTAAAGGGTAGAGTTTCAAAGACTGGAGGAATCTGTTAATGCCACAGTGCGCAAGCCTAGATATTTCGCTTAGATAGACTCTTATTAAAGTTAAGAACTACTGTATTTTTTCAGTGTATAAGATGCCCATATGTTAGTTGGTTAGTTAGTCAATAGATTATCCTCATTGCACACTGAATAATTCAGTCCATAGGTGGCGGATACCATCCTCAGTCAATCCAGCAGCATGCAGTGGCTGACAACACAAGTTCTGTATTAGTTTCTTATTTTCCTTGGGCTTCCTGCAAAGTATTCTTGGCCTTCGTCTTAGTCGAAGTTTCAACTTCCCTGCAGTCGGGTGACCCCATACGAGGGACAGTCAATATGTAAGTCATAAATGGTTATGGAATACCAGGAAAATGTAGTTGGTGGTTTCTAAAGGTGTCATTAGTGAAAGCAACATTGAACTTTATGTCTCTGTTCATTAGGTGGTGCTAGGTGCTGCATGGGCATTCGCAACACAGAAACAAAATGGTGACTGTACTTATGGAGTGTACCCTCAAAGAACGTGCTGTTGTGGGATTGTGGTTTTTTTTTTTTTTTTGGGGGGGGGGGGAGGGATGCTTGCAAAGGACATTTACAAGGAAATGCTTCCTGTTTATGCTGACAAATGTTTGTCCCGTAAAACGGTGCATAGCTAGGTAAACAAAATGTCTCAAAGACGCTCTAAAATTGTTGATGAAGTCCGATCTGGTCGGCCTGTTGAGAATGCAATAGACGCATCCATGCAGCAGGTGGAGGAGATGATTAGAGATGACAGGTGAGTAATGGTTGACTTTGCAGCAGCTGCAATAGGGTGCTCATATGGTTCAGCATACAACATGATGCATGATTGTTTGAAATTTGTGGTCCACTGAAAACCCACCTTGGCAAGAAACATTTTGCGAATAACTGCAAAATAAAATGTGAAGTGAAAATGTTGTTTAGAAAATAGAGCATGCAGTTCTATGCAGACTGATAAAATTATGAATAAGTGCATCAATTCTAGTAGAAATTATGCTGCAAAATAAAGGGACAGTGTATATGTAAACTTAAACAGTTGTTAAGTTATTATCATCTTTATTTTTATTTTTTTTTTTAAACCATTTGTGACTTACTTATTGACTTTCCCTTGTACTTTCTCCATTTCTGCGCCAGTGAAAAAAAAAATGTTTTTCACTGTTCCATTTGAAAAACGTGAACAAACAATTATCCAAGCACAATCCAGAAGTATGTGCACACAGTAAACACATGTGGCAGTTGCTAGAGGTGCCAAACTCAACAGTTGCCACTTGAAATGCAGTCTGAGTTGAGTCAAGAAATGACATCACAGCACTCGGGGCATTCCCGTGTGCTTCATCCTTATTTTCAGCAGCCAACGCAGAGTTCCAGTACTGATGTTACCGGTCACAATCTGGTTCTAAGTCCATCTTGCCTTTCCTCAGAGTATAGTGAGCCGGCTAGACCCTCTGGTTACACCCAGGTGCATCATTCTCTCCAGGCCACAGTAATCTTCTTTCTATACTGATTCCGTGGCTTGTTCCCAAAGATCCTTGACCACATCTGCCTTGTCATGTAACAATTCCCCACCTAGTAGTGCAGATCCAGCCGGAGCTTCAGAGCATGTGCTCTAAGCTTGACGTCATCTTCAGCGAGCAGCAAATGCAGTCTGTTGTTGCTAGAAGTACTCAGTCTCAACAAGTTGGCTATACACATGTAAAATTATTACCTAAGGTATTTCACCAACCCACATGTAAACCGGCCATATTGAATACCATGATTTGCTGCACAAATGAAAGGCATTCCAACTGAAAGAGACATCTCACACCACACACTAAACACAGCAGCTCAGCCAGCGAAAATGTAGACTTTCATCCATTTGTCTAATCTGCACAGGCATAAGCAAAAATAGATTTGAAGCTCAACATTATGCACTGCCTAATCCTCCATTCTGGACCGGCAGTATTCTTGTCTGGCCACACCCCTTTTAATGTATTGTTCTTACAGTTTGATCATAGTTGCAGATTTACAGACACCCACATGTATTAGATGACATCAATCCCCCCCCCCCCCCCCCCCCCCCCCCCCCCCCCCCCCCCCCCCCCCCCCCCCCCCCCCCCCCCCCCCCCCCCCCCCCACCCCCCCCCCCCCCCCCCCCCCCTCCCACCCCCCCCCCCCCCCCCCCCCCCCCCCCCCCACCCCCCCCACCCCCCTCCCCCCCCTCCCCCCCCCCCACCCCCCCCCCCCCCCCCCCCCCCCCCCCCCCCCCCCCCCCCCCCCCCCCCCCCCCCCGCCAAAAAAAATAGGAAATAAATATGTTTAACACCAAACAAAACAATTCTGATATTTTATTAAACATTCAAACCACCTGTATATTTAGTATCATATATTTAAACATCCAACAGAACAATATTCAGCTGGAATCTAACAGAACACTGTGAGACAAATTAAACAAGCACCCATCAGCTCACTGTAAACTTGGTGTAAAGTAACTTCACTGAAACTGCAGATCCAGCTCTCCCCCCTAAGCTGCACTTTTGCATTTTCAGTAAGTACCATTTGATTTGGTGCTGTTATATTTACTCAACAAGTGACAACAGATAAGAATGCTGATTGAGGAGTTGTGACTGCCATAGCTGCCTGAGTCAGTGGGCTTGGGGAACAGCTTGCTTCAGGAGGGGTTCTGGATAGCCACGGGTGGCTGTGGAAATCAGGTGCCGGGTGGAAGGGACAGTGTCCGAAGTAGAGGCTGCTGGCGTGGGGAATTTAACCAGACCAGAATTTGCAGTCCTGAGGCCAAAAGTGAGGGAAAGCTGGGGGAAAAGACTATGGATAGTAGTGATAATGTTGCATGTTGTAATTTAATCGCAAAATTCCATGTAAAGAGTACTGGGCTCTCCTAGCAGATTTGGCTGGCAAGCTAAACTGCTTCGGCCGGCTTAGTGGGAGTTACGTCCCTTCGCCAAACTCGAAATAAGTCGCGGAAAAAGTCACGAATCAAATGACATACTTACCTATCATCATCCTGGTGCGCGTAGGGTTGCGTAGGGTGTCTATCATCGTCCTACGGTTGCGTGTAGGGCTGCTTATTGTGTGTAGGTTGGTTGTTTGCGTAAAATGAGGGGTGGGGTCAGGGTTTAGGGTTTAGGTTTAGGGTTATGGTTCGATGTGAAAATTTTCACGTAGGAGGTCGAAATAGTGGCCGACAATCTGATGCTTGTGGGAGTGGCGCCACTGAAACTCTGCCAAATATGACGCCAATAGCGGGCGGCTGGTGCCCAATCGGTGGCGAATTGTCCGTGTCAGTAGCATCCACCGTCCGTCGACTGTTTGCGCGTGCATGCGACTGTGCGCGATTATAGGGAACTACGGCGTTACAATTGTCACATCTAACGCTGCACTTAACCCTACCCCTAACCCTCATCTTACGCAAACAACCAACCTACACGCAATAAGCAGCCCTACACGCAACCGTAGGACGATGATAGACACCCTACGCAACCCTACACGCACCCGGATGATGATAGGTAAGTATGCCATTTGATTCGTGACTTTTTCCGCTCGATGTTTTGAGTGCGGCCAAGGAGACATAACTCCCACTAAGTCCCGCTAAGCCGGCCGAAGCAGTCGAAGCAGTGCAGCTTACCGGCCAAATCTGCTAGGAGAGCCGAGTACTGAGTATACATCCCAAGTCCCAACATCTCGGTTTAGAATTGACGTAGAGACGTGAATGTGACATTGTTGAAATTGATGATTTTTTTCCATGTGGAACATTATTTAATTAATTAAATACAAGAAAATCTGACCAAAGTAAGAAGTAAGATGAAATAAGTTGTCTTGGCTTACTCCGCTTACTTACCTATTTTATACCTCCGTTTAAAATATCTGTCAACAACGTTTGGAGGCCTTCCATTGACGTCATTGTTAACAACGGGGTCATCTGAGATTGTTGTCATCGCAGTGCGTTAATTCTTCAATCTGTGTTTAAATCTTCAATCTGTGTCTAGTAACTTCAGATATTCAGTAACAGGCAGAAATTAGTACAGGCTGATAAAACACTAGGTACAAGATGCGGCATGTGTGTTGGAACTCTTCGTTGGAGTAAAACTAAACTTACTATGAAATACTATTGGTACGGTAGACTTTGTATAGACAGAAGCTCCTATATAGCCTCCAATCCTTCTACAATAGACGGCACCTCGGACAGCTCATTCTTGTTCGTGACCACATACCGGTGTCTGAGGTGGACATGTCTGAGTGGGATAATGACGACCTACAAGTACACGCAGTCAGAGTGATGGGCCCGGCCCAGTTTGTGATTGTCAATGTGTACGCCTGCAATGGAAAGGTGGATACAGCGAAATGGCAGAGTTTGCTCCAGACTGAGGAAAAGAAAGTCCTTTACTGCGGAGATTTCAACGCCAGAGGAAACCAGTGGGGCAATGTAATCACCAATAAACAGGGGGAAGACCTGGAGGATGCTCTAGTGTCTGCCGATCTAGTATGCTTGAACGACGGAAAGGTTACCCGAATAGCAACCCGACAAGGGGATTCTGACGGCGTAATTGACCTGGCCCTAGTGTCTCCCTCCATTGCACCAGGATGTAGGTGGAGCACACTGGGATACCATGACAGTGATCACTTTCCGTGCGTCGTCCTGGTGGAGAAGAGCAACAACGAAGGTCATGTAATCAATGTGCCTGCTTTTATATATGACCGTACAGGGCAAGATGCCATTAGCAAAATCAGACGACGTAATACAAGAGCAGATCGCAGACGGCGGGAGAGATGGGCCCAGCCACCATGGTGGAATGAAGTAGTCAACATAGCGTGGCTAGAAAAAAGGAACGCTGTCAAGGCATGGCAAAAGGCAAGGGAAAATTGATCCGTCACTTTCTGAACGCCTGATCAGTCTGAAAGATGAGGTCAACAAGCGGACAGTGGCTTTCAAGTTAATTGCGAAAGAAGCCAAGACAGCGAAATGGAACGAATTCTGCAAGAGCGTTTGCTCCGAGGGATCTCTTGTGACATTCTGGCGCCTTCAACGGAGCATGCACGGCGCCGCACGACCAAGGGGTATCCATGATTTTTCAGGGTACAGACCTGATATGGCAGAGAACTGATGCTGATAAAGGAAAAAACCCTCCTTGCGCGCTACTTGGAGCAAACTGACCAAAAAGACGAAGCTGCAAGAATAGGGGTTAAGATGAAACTGTCGATGCTGTGCGAGAACACTGAGCTAGGCACTGATTTCACAATCACTGCAGACACCTTAAGAACTTGCCTCAAGAAATCGCGCAGCACTGCTCCAGGTCCTGACGGCATCCGATACAATGACATGCTGATGATGTCGAATGCTGATTTGAAAAGCGTGGCAAAGGAATTCAATATCAGCATCCAGAGTGGCCAGATACAAGAGGAATGGCTCCATAGTTATTTGTTTCCACTACCAAAGCCTAATAAAGACCACTCAAAGATCTGCGGCTACAGAATCATCTCGATGCAGAATACTGTTGGCAAACTTTTGGAAAAATTGTCGCACAAAGATTGACCACCTACTTAGAACTACATGATAAGTTCCCATCAACACTTGGAGGGTACAGATTGAAGAAAGAGACATGGTCCAATGCTGCTGTTTTCGCCTACGATGTGTACGAGGGATTTCAGATTAAAGAAGAGACATGTGCGGCAGTGTTGGACTTAGAAGATGCCTACAATAAAGTACCATATGATTATTTAATGCAATTACTGCTTAAACTAGAAGTCAATCCTATTCTGATCCGCTGGATTGCTGCGGTCCTGTTCCAGAGAAAGATTGTACTAAGATGTGGTAGCTGGTCCTCAGAACCGCAAACGATATGTCCAGGCTTGCCACAGGGATCACCGCTATCACCAGTCTTATTCAATGTTTATACGGTGATGATCACTGAGCAGCAGTTGAATGGAAAGGGAAGGACTTTGTCATTTGCTGATGACATTTTGATTTATCGACGAGGGCGTGATAGACAGGAGATCGCCAGCACAATGCACAAAGAACTCGATCGAATTGCCGCCTGGTGTGATGGTTCCAATGCCTATGTCAATCCCTCGAAGGCATCAGTGTCATGGTTCTCTTTGAACAATCACATTGTCAAGTCGGACTTACCAGAAGTGAAAATGCGTGATAATGTATTGATCAGAACCAACGTTATGACGTTTCTCGGGGTGAGGTTCGATCGCAGCTTGTCATTCAGGGAACACGTTGACCATGCGATAACAAAAGCACGCAAAGGTCTATCTGCAATGAGGATTATGGCTGCTTCCAATATCGAGCAAAGACTGCTGGTGCTTCTATTCTATGGTCTGGTCCTTTCCCCCATTGAATACGCTCTGGCCATCCCCACTGTCAGTGCTACCCAGATTGAACGACTCGAGAAGGTGCAAAATGAAGCCATGCGTATTATTTTGGGATGTACAAGAGACACATCCTGTGGAGCAATGAGATATCTACTTGACTTTCCAACAATGAACCAAAGGATCAGGATGTGGAGGGCTCGGGCATACCTCAAAATATGTGCTGATAAGAAACACCCACTGCATCAAGCGCTTTTTAGTGAAAAGGGCGACAGACTGAAGAGGGGAAAATCGTGGCTAGGTCGGGCAGAAGATGTTATTAGGCAAATATGCAGCCTAACCGACATCATACCTGGTGCAGAATGGATACCTGTGCCTCAGGCGTTTATTTGTACATTTTCCTGTATTGTCACACTCAACAGGCGATGTAGAGAAGATAATCCTGTTGCTGTTAATGCAGAGGTCAACGCTCTCATCGGTGAAAATTCAGACGAAGCAGATGCACTAATCTATACAGACGGATCAGTTATACGCCAAAGAAGAAGCGCATGGGCATTTACAGCACGCTCAGCGGGCAGAACAGTCAAAGAAGCCAACGGAGCCTTCTCCATGACAACCAGCAGCATGACGATGGAGGTGATGACAGTGACGCAAGCGTTTGCCTGGCTTGAAACACAAAAATACACCCGCATATGTATACTCAGTGATTCAATGAGTATGATCCGGAGGGTTCAGCAGGTTTCAGTGCGAAGACAATGGCTTGAATCAATTCAGAAGTCCACTGTGCGAGGAGTCACCTTTATTTTTGTTCCGGGACACGCAGGCGTCGATGGAAATGAAAGAGCTGACAGGTTGGCTGGATCCGCTATCACTACCGACGGTCGGCCTATGGATCATGCTGATATTATCAATGCCCTCAGAGAAATGGGAAGGATAGAGGACTTTGGTGGCAGTGAATCCACATCACTCGCCAGAATGGCAGACTTGGGAATTAAGATCGGCACAGCAAAAAACGAGACGCACACCGGACACGTCAGAAGACTTGTTAATCAACATAGAACTGGTACTATTAGCCATCGGACGTTGGGATTCATACTGAGGGGAGGATCTGAGCACCTATGGACATGTCCGGAGTGCAATGATGATAACCCAACTAACTAACTAACTAACAAATCCTATATAGCCACAGGGTACCATCAACCTTGTGAACATCGCTCCATTCACTGCACGCCTGAAAGAAACCAAGTCCCTCGCAAGATCTCCCGCCTAATGCACTTATCTGCCCAGTGTGTTTCTTATGTCATGTGCCTATCTTCATGCTGGTATGTCCTCGCTCCTCTTACATGAAAGAGTTCTTTCCAGGCCGCAAAAGAGCTTGATATGGCCAAAATATATATTTTAGCTTCAGGGACGAGAGAGAGAGTTGTATAGACTTTTAGAAAGTTGTCTGTGTGTTTTTCCCTGAAAAGACGGAATGGGATACATAATTTTGCAACTCTATATAGCGAGATAATAATATTAGTGTAATTATCTTCATCGTCTATGTTTTGGAGGAAGAAAAGAATTAATCTTCATCTTTTTATATTCTATGGCTACTAAACTGGCAGCCTGAGGAAACTTAGCAAGTGGCTCACGAATCAGTACCAGTTGTATTAATGATGTTTCCAAGCTAAGGCTCGAGCCATTGGTCCAAGACAATCCCTATTTTTAAAATTGTTGCCCCTGAGTAAACAGTTTAATAGCTCCGTTACAGCCTAATGCCACATGTCGTTGGCAGTCATGCATATCACAGCCTTCTATCGCATTGCACTTTCAAGCATTTTTGACACAATCTTCACTGTCATGGTGTCAAAATATCCATCGTCTTCTCTGTCGGTCTCCTTATATTTCCTTCCCTCTCTAACTATCCCACCTCACGATGTACTTCAGTTGTCATTGATCATTATGTTGCATTTACTGCACGCTGAGCCTAACCTCGTTAATGTGGTCTTGCAGTCTACTACCTAAAATATAATGAATTAATCAAGTAACAGAAAGTATTGTGGACAGCACTCATAGAAAGAAGTAGAAAGATAGAAGAACACACTAGACAACATAAAAATATAAAACAGAATCACAGCCAGCCTATTCCAACTTTTTACATTACAGACATCGACACCGCCTACCGTGTACTTCCGATGCCAACACAGAAGCCGTCATGGCGTTTGGACTCTATTCCTTGCTGGAAGCAACTATCCTCTGTTTAAATGCTGTTTGTATTTTGCACGAAGAGCGCTTTTTAGCGAAAGGTACGCATTAGAACTTTTACATTATGAGAAATCTGGAAAATTAATTTAATGTGGAAATAGTAAATTCATTCATCACAAAACAACTATCGCGAATGCCTTCCTTCCTAACGCCTAGCCTAACGGAACGAATCCATGATGATCTATCTATCGCGCAGCGGCAGAGGAGTCTCAGTCTGTCTCTTTTTCATTTTTTTTTTTCCTGAGGAGCACCTCATATAATCATGATGATCCACTCCATTATATTATATCATAGGCGCATAGTGGAATGGGCCAGGGGGCAGTAAGAGCCCCAGGCGCACACAAATGAGAGCCAGCATAGTTCATTGGTTAAACCAGTGTTTCTTCCTCATTCCTCACTGTGGGCGCTACTGTCCTGTCCTATGGACGGGCTGGGTTGGTAGCTTTGTCAGTCGAACATGAAATAGAGGAGAATACAGTTTTCGCCTCTCCTGTCAACTACGGTCGGTAGACGGCCGGTTAGTCTGTCCCTTGGCTACAGTGCAAATACGGAGTGGAATAGGAGGAAACGAAACAATTGACACAATTACTGTGTGTTGGTGATAGACAGCGTGCACTGCCCTGCTATAATCATACGGTTTGGGTTAGAGTTAGGGTTCGCATTGCAGTTAGTGTCGCCGCATCTCGTCTTCGCAGAAACTCAACGTAGCAACCCTAACCCTAAACCCTACCCCTAACCTAAAACCTAACCCACGCCCTAACCGTATGATGACAGTAGGGTGCTGCACGCTGTCTATCGTCAACACACAGTAATTATGTCACTTGTTTCCTTCCCTCTAATCCACTCCGTAATGCGTAGCAAGAAGCGGTAATTGAACGCGGTCGCTAACTTGAGTCGCAGCGCGGGTTCTGTTAGGCATGTCGACCTCTCTGTGTTTTTTTATTCGTGCCTTCTCCAGTCCATAATTGCACTGCAGCCAGGGGACAGAACTCCGACTAACCGGCCGTCAGCTGTTGTCTACCAGCCGTAGTTTACAGGAGAGCCCAGTTTTGTTTTGCTCTCCTGTGCGAAGTACGAAGCTTGGCTACTGGTATTTTTTTTTCTATTTAATTTTTTTTTAAAGTAATTCTGCACCAGATGTAGGTAAAATATAGCCATTTTTCAAAGTCAGTTTCTTTAGTATTTGCTGTCTAAATAAACGAAGTGCAGTTATGTATGACTCACTAGTTTGTACACATAAAGAATAAATAGCCAGTCACACACGGTGCATTCCTAGGGACAGAAAGAGTTATAGTGGGCCATGGTGTCATTCTTAGAAGTCGACCATAGTACTTAGTAGATGCAAGCCTTGTCAGTTTCTTATCCTGGGATCTGTCTGTTAGATTCAGTAACGGTGTATTCTTAATTATTTGCTTATGAATCGTGCAAAATATTGTTAGTTGAGTTCCCAACATCACGACAGTCAGGTCCCAACATCACCGCAGTCAGGTCCCAACATCACCGCAGTCAAGACCCAACATCACGGCAGTCAGGTCCCAACATCACCGCAGTCAAGACCCAACATCACGGCAGTCAGGTCCCAACATCACGGCAGTAAGGTCCCAACATCACTGCAGTCAAGACCCAACATCACGGCAGTCAGGTCCCAACATCACGGCAGTCAGGTCCAAACATCACGGCAGTCAAGACCCAACATCACTGCAGTCAGGTCCTAACATCACGGCAGTCAGGTCCCAACATCACTGCAGTCGGGTCCCAACATCACTGCAGTCAGGTCCCAACATCACTGCAGTCAGGTCCCAACATCACGGCAGTCAGGTCCTAACATCACGGCAGTCAGGTCCCAACATCACTGCAGTAAGGTCCCAACTTCACGGCAGTCAGGTCCTAACATCACGGCAGTCAGGTCCCAACATCACGGCAATCAAGACCTAACATCACTGCAGTCAGGTCCCAACATCACTGCAGTCAGGTCCCAACATCACGGCAGTCAGGTCTCTTCATAACTGCTCTGTTTCTGTGCCAGTGGAGATCACACAAAATGTCCTTAATAATCCTATTTGAAAAATGGTTTTTGAAATGTTGGTCTCCCCACGGAAAGTAGGTCAATTCCATTGATAAGTTTGTTGGACTAGTCTACCGTGGTTGAGGTTATAGGTGTGGCAGTCTGTTGTGTTGCATTTACGTTTTTATTCAGAGAAAGAGACTGCCTGTGACATAGGTTTCATTACTCTCTAAAGGAGTTGTGTGTTAGACCCAGTTGTCAATGTTTTTGGAGTGTTAAAACCTCTGGCATAGTGAAATATACAACACACAATGTCAGCGGCAATGCGGAACACCCCTATGAAAGTGACCCAAGGTCGCGTGGCTCGAGGTCAACCAATCAGAAGTTAGCTAGGCTGAAGGTCAACCAAACAGAAGTGAGCTAGTGTGTATATGGGAGGTCGGTGGGGAGACTAATGTGACTATTACCTGGAAAACATATCAGTCTCCGCAAAATCGTGAAGCTAGCACTGTAGAAACTATTACCTGGCATTCATTGATGACGTTGGCAGATCATTTGTTTCTGTGAACAAATTAGATTTAAAAAAAAAAAAAAAAACTTCCAAACTGGCCTCGTTCCATTTTGACTGGTCCTGTGAGGTAACTTTTTCCGGTACTGCCAGTAAATCTTGCTCACTAGACTAAATCACAGGTCTTTCTTTGGAAAGAACCACATCATTCAGTTTAGGCAATTCTTACCCAATTACGCTTAATATGTTAATGTTCAGTTAAGATCACAGGAGAACAGCATAACTAGAATGTCTTTGCATTGGAACCCACAGGGGCATAGGAATAAAGGAAGGCCAAAAAACACATGTAGAAGAGAGCTGGAGAATGAGGTTAGAAAGATTGGGAGGACATGGGGAGAGCTCCATGTAATGGCGAAGGATAGAACGACTTGGCGTGAGTTGGTTGAGGGCCTATGCTCCATTGGGGGATAAAAAGGCAGAAGAAAAAGAAGAAGAAGATCATAGTGTTATTTCTCTTTCCACTCTAGTTTTCCACATTTCTATTTTTGAAAGCAGACTATTGTTGTTACTATTTCCATCATTAGTTTTAATGTTAGATTTAAAAAAACAAATGAACTTCTTAGTAACATACATATATTCCAGTTTGTTTCTTTGATAAAGACTTGTTGAAACCTTCACTGGTTTATGTGAATGTTTTCCTAGTTGCTTTTTTTTAGTGTTTAGTCTTTCTGTGCTTAGTGTGCTTGTTTAAACCACCCCACTCTACTGAAACAATCCTAATCATCACTTATGATGGGCAAACAACAATACTTTTTTATTCAGTCTCCCAGCAGTAATAAAAGCCTTTCTGACCAGAACTTCTCTTAGCTTGACACAGCCCCGTACAGCTTTCTTTCATTGTGGGCCTTTCACCTTCCTTTGGAGCCTAGACCCTCAAATAACGCCAAGGCCTTTTATAGATTTGCCCACATCAGTTGCATTTGCAGCTACATTTTTCTGAGGGAATTAGTAGCCAGTATCATACTAGTCCTCCTGAGTTGCCTCTTATGACATGCATGGTAAATTACAGTATAACCATCCTTTGCCTTCCATTAAAGTCCTGATAACAGACAGTGGGTTACTGTATAATTTTCTGGATGTTTGATGTTTGAACAACGGATCAACATCATGGCACAAGAGTAGTAACCATTCTACTTCTGGCTCAAGCCCAAGTCCAAAGAATCTCAGTGCAGTGCACGAACTCCGCAGCACCAGCGAGAGTCCTGACAATACTTTGGATAGATTTTTAACCCCAAATTTTGCCAGGGCAGCGCCGTTAGGCTACTTTTTTTAATTTCCAACTGCCAAGGCATTTTTTTTTATGTGTGCAACAATACACACGGGTGTCTGATTCTTACTACCCAGAAACCAGGGGAAATTACTAGAAGTCTATGTGAAAAAATCCCAGCCTGAACCCTGGACCTCTAGCACTTAATGCGGACGCCATGCCTCGAGACCACTCAACCTGCTTAATTTTCTGGAAAGGAACGTAAATAGACATCCCACCTCATTGTACCTTAATTTTCTGGAAAGGAACGTAAATAGACATCCCACCTCATTGTACCTTAATTTTCTGGAAAGGAACGTAAATAGACATCCCACCTCATTGTACCATGAAGCAGCTCCCCTTATATTAAAAGCATTCTAAAAATCGTAAGAGGGCTTAAATTTTGGGGGGAAACAGTATCGGTCATGGAACTATCCTCAACTTCTTCTTGTTTTTTTTTTGTGTGGTCATAAATATATCTGTGGTTCTTCATGTCATAATTGACACACAAAAACTCCATTACAGCTTTGGTGCCATGGTGTCCCATGTCAGTTTACACTCATTCTTTTCCCTTTCTCCAGGTTTCCTTAGGTTTTCCACCTCTCCCTTTTCCATCTGCTGCCTACCAGAGAGTTTCCTTGCCAAAGTGTCTCAAGACATTCTGCAATCATGCCCGAGACATCTCCATCTTACTTTGATGTTTGCTAGTGATGAACATTTTGTTTTCCTCCTCCGTGATCTTACTGTGCCAAACTATTTGCCGGTTTCTCCCAAGAAATTTGTTGTGTAAATTATCTAGTATATGTTAATTCCTGCTGGTATTTTCCAACACTCGCTGTATAATATTAGCCCTAAACTGTTCGCTGTTGCGAATTCTAAGTTTTATCTTCAAATCAAGTCCCTTGGACATCTATATATTGTTAAGCACGGCAAAAGTTTTTGGTCATAAAAAGTGGTGAAGACACTTATATTTCTATTTATAGTTGGATGGGCAGTTGACCAACATCGTGGATTTGGTGAAGAGCCTGGTGTGAAGTCACAGATCTTGAACCTGATCAGATCCATACGAACAGTCATGCGGTGTAAGTGTTGTTTTTTTTTTTTTCTCAAAACAAGACAAGCATATTGATAAAGCATCTTCCCATGAGGGAATTCATAGGCATCTTTCCATGGGAGAATTCAAAGGCATATTCCCATGGGAGAATTCAAAGGCATATTCCCATGGGGGAATTCATAGGCATATTTTCATGAGAGGATTAAAAGGCATATTCCCACAAGGTAATTCACAGGCATATTCTCATGGCGGGATTCAAAGGTATCTTCCTATGGGGGAATTCATAAACATCTTTCCATTGGGGAAACTCAAAAGCATCTTCCCGGGGGGGGGGGGGGGGGGGGGGGGGAATTCATAGGTGTCTTCTCATTGTTTAGTTGCTAGGCATCTTCCAATGGGGGAATTCAAAGGCATCTTCTCATAGGGGAATTCATAGGCATCTTCCCATGGGGTAGTTGCTAGCTGTCTTCCCATGGGAAAATTCAAAAGCATCTTCCCATTGGGGAATTCATTTTGAAAAGAGAGCAAATGGACCCAAGACAACCCCCTTCCTCACCCAGCTAGCAGTTTCTTTCATGTTATGAATGTCAGCCAGTGCCCATGGTGCATTTCACATGATCAAGAAAGGAGTTTCTCAGTCTTATTAAAGCCTATCCGATGTCTATCCGAGAATAACAACATGATGACCTTCCAAGTTTGCTGTATGAGATGCTTCAGAGGAAAGGGTTGTGGTCACGGTCTTGACAGGCAGCATGTCGGGCAGAACTCTCTGCATTGGTTCTAATGCCCCAGTTCAATGGGGGGGGGGGGGGGGGGGGGAGTTGATTCACTGCCCCCTAACATGTATGTCCTGAAAGGAGACTAATGAAAATGTGCTGAAATTGGATGTGTTGGGCTGAAAGGCACAAATGTTGCATCCTTGCTTTGCCTGTTTATTGCTCATTTTAAGATCATCTTTATTGCACATCAGACATGACCATAAGTGCTCCGATCTCCTCCTGAGTATGTCTCCAAATGTGTTTAGACTAACAACTCCCATTCTGCTCTGGTTGATGTCACAACAGGGTTTTTCCTGTCTTGCTGCTCCAGTTGGTACACCCAGGGTATGCAGTCTATTCATTTAAAGATTATTGTCCACGAAACTGAAAACCTCACAACGTTTAGTCTTTCATAAGGCATTGATGATGTCTCTCCTGTCCATAGATGGCCCATTCCTGATAGTCGCACTGCCAGCATTTAACAAGTTGTTTTTGCAGTCTGACCATGGTTGCAGATTCACAGTTCTCAGTTGGTTCACGCAAATGTCTTAACTCTCTTAGCGCATTTAGTATATCAGCCTGGTCCATGGTAGCCTCACCTGCAAGCGTATCAGCTTGCTCGTTTCCTTGTACCCCCACATGTCCAGGCACGAAAATGAAACTAATCCTTGTCAGCCGTGAATTCTGTAGAGCCACCAACCACTGCCTTCGGACCCAGCCCTTCTATATTTTCCTGAGCATACTCATCGAGTCACAGAGAAAGCATGCCCCAGTGAAAGTCTGTGTCTCTAGCCATGTTACTGCTTTAGTCACAGCCATGACCTCCATAGTCAGACTACTTGTAGTTACTGCAAAAGCTCCAGAATCTTCCTTCACAACTCTCCCTCCAAACTGAGCCATGAAACCCCGAGCTTCTAATGTGGCGGATTACAGAACCATCTGTGTAAATGACAGCATCACCTTCTAGAGCGTTCTCGAAAATCAAGGCTTGAACTTCTGCTTCCACAGCAGCCGGACTGCATTTTCTGTCTAGTTGGATGCAAACAGAAAAAGATGTACAGCACTCTGAAGGCACTTGCACCCACTCCTCACCGGGTTCTATGACCTTAAGTGAACATACCTGTAAAATAATGTCCTCGGCTTGACCCATCCACCATTTGCCTCTTTTTAACCTGCTGCCTTTTATCTTCTTGATTTATATGTAATGGATGTTGTGTGTCCATCTTGGATGCAAGGTAGGCGCGAGCTCTGGAAATCTGTATTACATACCCCTGCTCCCTAATTCTAACATACTGTAACATTTTGTCTTTTGAACCTTCTTGTTTTTAAATTACTTTTCTTGTTATAGAAAGATTTAGTTTACCAAAAGTAATTTTAAGCTACAATTTTTTTTTTTTTTTTTTTGCAGTTCCCCTGATTGGTGTCAACATAGCAACAATTATATTCAAGCTTCTGTTTGGATGATGCAGTTTGATGCGTGCAGGAAAGGAGATTCTCATAAATATGAATGCTGTACAGTTACATTTTGTCCTCTCACTCAAGTATGAATGGCTATTGTGTGCAGTAGACACATGATCTGTCAGTTTCTTCTTCTTCTTCAGCATACCAAGACCTTGAGGTTCCCTGTGCTGATGGCACATATCTCCTTTCATCTCTAATTGGCTTCCTATCTTACCATTTGGTGACTGCACATGTTTGTAGGTCTGCCTGTATCTCTCCAGTCTTCTATTCCTCTCTTGTTTATGCACTTTTGATCTCCGTTATTCTCTCTATTCGCTCCAGTCATCGCAGTTTCTCGGTTAGCAGCCCATTAATAGCACCAAAGATAAACTCAGTGCTCATGGCACTGTTGACATGCTTGAAACATATTTTTACCTGCTCAGTGATTCTTACTTTACGCTGTCATGGCAATTTTTTTATCCCGACTTTGTTTCTGTATTTATTTATTTTTTTCTCTCTAAATTCAGCATTTTAGTTTTCTTGTTCTCCCACCTTCTGTCTTTCAATAGAGCACAGGTCTTAATTAAAACAATGTTTATTCTTCGTCTCTTGTGGAGAGCTCCCTCGGTTTCCTGCCACATTATTCATGTTTGCTGAACATTCTATTCTTGTTTGAGATTTTCACTCTATTTCTTTTCACCCTGTACTTTCAGAGGAAAGTTTAACTAGTTATACAATTAAAACACCATCCTCACTGCTTGATTCACTCAGAGTTTATCAGTTCATGCCATCAACTCTACAGTGGTGATTTGTTCAGTTCATGCCATCAACTCTACAGTGGCGATTTTGTTCAGTTCATGCCATCAACTCTACAGTGGTGATTTGTTCAGCTCATGCCATCAACTCTACAGAGGTGATTTATTCAGTTCCTGCCATCAACTCCACAGTTGTGATTCTATCATACTATTTTAAGTGAATCTTTCTGTGCAAGCACCGTCATGAATGAATGCAATTTATTAGCATTAATTTCATGTCTATATGCTTCTGATTCGCATAACAGGGTGTGTATGTTGTTTCCAGAATTTGAAAGAAACAGAAAAATTAGGATTAAAGTTTTTCTGTTTACTTGCGTACGGAAATTTGACCTCAGACAATAGATGGTAAAAGTTATTAACTTGTGTAAAAAATACTAGGAGCCGTACTGTTACATCATGTCTAGCTGTGATCTTTGGTGAGTAGAAGTCATGAATTATCTGTCAGAGGCAAATCGAATGCATGATTTGAGAATCATCTCCCATTGTCTAATACAATTTTTGAGTTTTATCAGTCATACTGCCTTCTTTGTGCGAGTTCTTAATGAAAATGACCTGATGTAAGCTTGTTCTGTTTCTGTGGAAAGATGGGGAGCGAATAAGAGGCTTGATTATAACCACTGTCATTCTTGTATATTTCTAATGTTTCCTGCTCCATTATAATAGATTCAAATATTTATAGTTGTTGATGGACCTCAGAAGTAAAGGTTTCAGAAAATACAATAAAGATAACAGAAAATCTTAATGCGAGTGCCACTTGAACTGTAAATGTAGTAATCTATGCAACTGATGTTTCCCAGCATTTTATATGTTACGACATTAAACATGTACATACTACCACAGCCCTGTGTTAAATTTATTTTTACCTCAACAAACTAAACAATACAACACATGTTTCTAAATATTTTATTGACCACAGGGTGCACATAAAAGAATGATTGCCTTTCAGAAACACTTTCAAGCCTTCTAGTTGGTTCTAGATCTATCTAGGTGCCACAGACTCAATAAAAGACAACAGATGTGTAATTCCTACAAGGTGGAAACTCATCAGTTTCAATTCAATCACTGCTCACTACACACAGGCATACACTGTTACTAACCTTAGGTTAGCTACGTATCCTTTCAAGGACGTTGCAGAACCTACCCCAACAGCCCCTAGCTGTTGCGTAGTTTTTCTATGCAAATTTACGTCCAGTAGTTTGCCATTTATTTCTGGACGGTCGGCTTTCTTGATACCACTGTCGAAACCAACGCAAGGCGTATGGCCCGCAGCTGGGATCGAACCGGGCATCCTGTCATTACGTAGAGTTTGCATCGACTTAGCCACAGAGCATGGCTAACCTACTTGAAGAAAATTCCACTTTATCACCAGCTAACAGTTTACTTGTCACATTTTCTGGCAGAGAACCAGATGAATGCATTTAAAAAAACATCTGTTTCGACATAATCTCTCATATTTTGATGAACACTCATTAAATCTTGTCTTTTATCTGAGGAAAAGATTTAACGTAATATAACCCTTGACCCGCCAGGGTCATAGAAGTGTAACAATTGAAGCATGAGCACACAAAGCCTGCTATCTTTGTCTTCCACTTGTTGAACAAATGTATAAATAATAATTTAGTCCTGTTCATTTCTTGATGTCATTCCAGGTTCTTCTTAACCAACCAACAACCCCGCTTGCTTCTCCCTCCTCCCCCACCTTTAACCAAACCAAAGTCCCTTGGTGTATAGTCTGTGCAATGAAAAAGATTTATTGGTAATGTGCACTCCAATGAAGGATACACTGTTCACTTTAATTATTTTCTTAAATTCAGCTGTCGGAGTAATGGTAGTCTGACAGCTAATCTGGTGGTGAAATCCTGAACCTTCTCTGGAAGCCACTGTTATGATGCTTATACTTGTTGGAAAATGTAATTCTAGCTGATGACTACAGTAACCCAGGTGACTCGGATCCAAACAGTACTGGCTCCATTTTTAGTCATTTCTGTATATCCTTCTAAAACTGATTTCCTCATGTGTCAGCTTTTATAAATGTGTTGCACAATTTTCACCTACAATTTCTTCTACCGATGCTGGGGTTTTTTCCCCAGTGCTAATAATTTGATATTCTTACATTTTCCTCCCATTTTTTCCCTCCTTATCTCCAACAACATTCAGAACTTAGCATTACAATATTACAGATATTGTAAACCTTAAACAACATTAATTCCATGTTCTGCAAAGATGTGACTAACTGCAACTGAAGCAGTCAACAAGTAATAATGACCAAAAAAAGAAGCAACAACAACAAAATGTGCTCTTCATCTAAATATGATTCTCAGTTGCAGGAGTTTCGGACTTCCTCTTCAACTTCTGCCTCCTCCTCCTCCTCCTCCTCATTAGAAGCGTCAGCAGAATTTGAGTTTGAGTCTTCCTCCAAGTTAATGTCCTCCATGTCAATGTCCACAGCCTGAAATAAACAATTCCATAATTTTATTTCAGAAAACAGCAATATGTTAAAAGAAAACACCAATATGTTAAAAGAAAACACCATTATGTTAAAAGAAAACAGCAGTTTGTAAAATGAAAACATCACTATTTATCTTGGAAACTGCAAAAATCACAGATCACAAAACAAAATATTTATGTATGAGTTAAAAATCTGGTACATTTATGAAGTTGTCAAAACAGTTTTCAAATTAGAATTACGTCTTCAATTACATCTAACAAGAAATGTGTGCATATTGATTATAAAACAAACATGTCAAGTTTGTGTTATCATTAAAATGTCATGATACAATACAGTGTTATTTAAGACCTAACAAGCAGAAATGTGCACACTATTAGGTTACGTCAGTTTTCGACGAGCATGGTTCTTTCAAAAGGAATGCACCACCCCTATCTCTAAAGGTATGTGTATTTGTAAGAGTTACTTATTCTATGAAAAGTAATGAGTATTTGTAAGGATTTATGATTCTATGAAAGGTAATGTCTCCTCTTTCTCTCACTCTCTGTAAGCAGGTCTAATAAATGTGGTGCAGAAGACAGCTTTATGGCTTACTCTGTGATTTCCAATTGTGGAATTTTTAATAACACAACCCAACATGAAGGTCCATTACAGAAAAGCGCAAGAGTGCAAAGACCCTGACAAGTGACCAAAAGACAACCAAGGAACTGTTGCTCAGAAATGCATAAATCTGTCTCTGAAAATGTGCAGCTGAAAGTTAGACAAGACAGAGACCTCATAGAACATGATAATGTTTAAAATCTAGCTCAAGAGCTGAACAATGTGATGATGATGATGATGAAAGAACATGATTCTATGAAAGAAAATCAACCCACAAGATCTAAGACAGACAATTCTGGTGTTATTGAACCATAGCAACCCACATAAATATCTCTAAATAGCAGTGATGACAGAGATAACACTGACCAGCCACTCGGGTGACTCCAATCTGTCAATGATTGCTTTCAATTTTGTCTGGACAGCTTGAAGGCTTGACCTGGCCTTGTCAACACTCATGTTTCTGAAGTCCTGAAACAAGACAAAAGGCACATGTTACTGCATAGTCGAACATTATTTCAGTACACATAATTTGCTACTTTAGTGGCAAGTTTCCACACATTGAGCTTTTTTTTTTTTTTTTTAAATATGAAAACCATTATTATTTAAATAATATGCTCTACGTGAATACCATTATGTTGAAAACATGTTTGTGTCGAACATGCGACTAAGACATGCTCATCAATCTGGGAATATAATTAAAATTAGCTACAAGCCTAACAGGGTCATTAGAAGAGTGGGGGGAACAACATAATTATACAGAGAATGTAAGCAGTGATTAAAGGTAAACAATTTTACAGGAACCAAAGCATGTACCTGAACTAATGAACAGACAGATAAGATCTCGGAGACAATGGAGCGTGTTCAGCACAAGTAATGAGTCCTGCAGTCATGGACAAATTAACCTGAGATGCAGGCACGCACTACACAACAACTGCTAGTGAGTGGGGGAGGTCAGAATTTCCCATCCAATGGTATAACAGATTCATGCAATTATGGGATGAAAGTAAATGAGTTGTATACACAGGATGGGAAAAATGTAGAGGAGAGTCAGAACAGAGTTGTAGACTGGGGGTCTATGACAGCCCTGGGTAGAGTAGACCCAGTTTGACTCTTGTAGATACAGAGGTCAATAGAAGGACCTGTCATAGAGTTAAGAAATATGATTCAAAGTGTGAATCTTATGTTTACAGTATTGTGACATTCCCAAGGGAACACAGGAACTAAAGTTGCTTATTTTGGGAAATGAGCAGGCAGACAGACTGGCCGGCTCTGTCCCACTTGGTGGTGAATTAATGTAGGACAAGTTAGATGTTGTGAGGGTCCTATCGGAGCGAGTGAACAGTGAGGAGCACACACAAAATTCATTACGGTCTGAGGAGAAAGGCACTGCGGGGAGTTACCAGGGGATCTGGCCGACGCTCAACACTCCGGGGAAGGGCAAGACGAATGTACAATCAGAAGTTACTGGTACCATCAGAACTGGAGCTCTTAGTTTGCTGCTGAAGATGTGGACGGAGCGTTTATGGGAGTGCCCTGCGTACTTTGATGATTCTGAATTCAACATTTAGAAGCCTGTCCTGCAATGATCTCTGACCCAGCAGGTCCCTGAAACTTTTCTAACATGAGCCAGATGCCCCGTCTCTGTCATGGGTAAATCATTTATCATATCTTGATTCCATCTACATTGTGATCCTCCTTCTTATCAGATTCCCTGGAAATCCTCCCTACATGATTACCTTACCTACAGCTTCACACCTCTTTGAATCTTGAATCAAGAATTAACATCACAGCACTCAAGACAACCCCATAAGTGCACACTTTACGTTACCAAAATACTTTGTTTTCCTGAATGTTTTTTTTTTTAAAGAAAGTTGAATACTGACTATTTATTGGATAGAAATTTAATTGTTAAAAACAATCTGGCCTGACAACCTCAAAATCTGGATCACAACACTGATGTTTCATCAAATATAAAGCCTCTAAAGAATGTTTTTTTTTAACTCTACCTTTAAATCTTCACATACGTATGTTAAAACGGGCATGACAGTTTTATTGTCGTCGCATTACATTTGTCTCCGAATTAATTCCCCAACAAAATTCAATTATTTGTTTTTTGACTGATGCAAACTTCCCCACATTTATGACAAGAGTGTCTTGAGAGAATGCACAACCAAGACAAGAGAGTGATGGAGATGCGTTGCAGCCAACCAACAGTGTGGAGATGGGACCTGATTGAGTCACATGACTCACTAGCTATAAAAGAGAACAAACAATCGTCAGTAACTCCTACATTTAAGAAACCAATGTCCACTTACTGTGCTGAGCTGGTAAGCCAGATCTTTGAACTCCTTTGATTTGGTGACTGGGTGACGAACAAACTGGCCAGCTTCACTGGAGACCTTCTCTAGAGCTGAAACACCAGACCTCAGTTGCTTTGTCAGTGTGCGACCAATCAAAACAATCCGCTCCTCTACATTCTGTGGATGATTAATATTGAAATATTTAATTCTAACAATTTTCTCTCTTTTTTTCTTCTGGATGACCCCTCTCATGTGATAGTTACAGAAACGGTGGTAGTAGTGTTATTAAAATCATACATTATTTTCTCTATCACCCTCCACCCACCCCTTCTACAATACTCAAAGACGATCATGATGCTGCAATTGTTAAACCCACATTTCTATTCTGAAGCACTCTTCTGACATCTTAGATAATGGGCATTTGCAATAATTTATGGGTAGGATTTTATTCCAGAGCCAATATGAGCATTTACACAAAAGGCTGCAAGAAGGTGCATAAAAGCTGATTAACAGGTACAGACACTACTCACCGACGACGTTATGTTCTCATAGCAGAAAGTAAGGAACGCCTTTAGAACCACATAAATCAAATCAATAATAAACGGGAGGCATATAATATGAGAAACACTACGAAGACAGAGACAATGGTGACTGGAAGACAGAAAGAAAATTTAGAAACAAAATTTACAAACTGTCTCAAAACACAGAGTAATTTAAGTGTTTGGGAGCAATTTTCACATCCGATGGAAAAATGGACAAAGAAAAGTAATGGGGCAACACTTTTGACATACAATCAGATACCCCGAGTGCTAAAGTGAACCTTATCAGAACTAATTTTTTGCCAACACTATGTTATCAGTGCCAAACGTTGACACTTAAATTCTCTAATGAACATAGAATTGTGACAACAGAGATGAAATGCCTTAGAAGAGCTGCAGGAGTTTCAAGGAAAGACAGAATACAAAATCAGACAAATGCTAGGAATAAAGACAGTCCTACATGTCATCAATGAATAACGAAGTGGTTTTGACACCTTAAAAGAACACCCTGGTACTATCTTCCACAGCGAGCCACACCGAAACGTTACGAGTATAGAGCGAATGGAAGACCTCAGAAAAGATGGAGTGATGGCATAAAGAACAGCTTTATAGAAATGAACATCAATCTTAATAGTGCGCTTGACAGAGATCAACTAATGTCTAACCACGTCTGCCTTATCATGTATCAGTATTCCACCAAGTTATGCAGAGCCAGCCAGTCTGTCCGCGCGTTCATTTCCCAACACACGGGCGTACCCAGTGAAAAAATCCAAACAATACTCACCTGTGTCCTCCGCAGCGAAGCATGCCACTCTGCACGAAGCACACCTGTTCTGATCTTCCTCAGCATGCTTTCTAAATCAGTTACAATCACGATGTGTGTGTGTGTTGTGTTCTCTAGCCAGCGGAAAGCTATATTTTAGCACACTGAAGAAACATTACTAAGCCTGAGACCATAGAAGCGCCTAATTGTGTGTTGAGGCCTACTAGAGTGTATTTCCTTGCATACAAATTCATTTCATAAAATTTTCTAAGATTCTTGTATAGAATGATGTCAAAGCAGACTAAATGCATAGGTAGTAAAGTGCAGAGGTCAAAATGTTCTTGAACTAATAATTGCTACCCAGTAGGTTCTAATGCAGTGAAATACGCCCCTACTCTCAACTCTTTGAATCCCAGTGGGTTTAGCATCACAGGCCCAAGGGATAGTAAATAGAGACAAACAATCAGTGCATAATGCGTTAACTGGGCTACTAGGTAGGAGACTGAACGTAGGATGCGTTCCTTGGGACTCTGAGAGTTAATGCATTCAGAAAACATTTTCTTACCCATGCAGCAGAGTTTTCTTCACCTTCCCGTGGCTGTTCAATTGTGTCAGTTATCTGTGTCCACAATTCCTCAACTTTACCTCGTGCAGCGTCCAAATTTTTCTTCGCATAATCAATCTGAAGGAAAAAAGTCATGTTTATAGACACTTTTTATATAAAGTCTCCATATTATGAAACGAACAGGTTTTAAAAATAAAACTAAATAAATCCATTAAATGCAGAAAAACTCCACATGTGACTCCTCAGGCAACTCAGTTATTAAATGTATAAAATCTCCCGAAAATAAATCACACTTCATGGTAATTGAAATGACTGCAGAAGTAAACTTCTAAACTTTTTACAGCCGCTATTAGCACTCAGCTTAAACATCAGAGAAATAATGCTCAAAACTACACATTTTTCTGTTGTAAAATTACATGTCAAAGAACTTCCAACGTTTTGCTTTGTTCTGGTCTAAGAATTGTTTGTGTGCAAATTATGTTTCCCGATTTTAAAACTCAAGTACATTTGATAGCAGCTACAAATGTCTTAAAGTAACGCACAAGCAACTCCAACTGCTCAGTAATCCGAACATTCACGAGCCAGGTGATGACCTTCCAATCCTTAATCTAAAATTTAAAAAATTGATAACGGGTGGCGTTACTGATATTATTCTTTGCTACCTTTGCTGTTTAAGCTTTTTACATATTTTTTCATCTTCTTCGATCCCTTCCCTCTAACACTTTCCCCATACGAGGCTAATTTGTATTATCTGTTGAGATGGTTCATAAACGTTCATCCTTTTTTATTGTTTTTTTTTTTTTTAACTAATGGTTTTGAAAAGTGCTTGTTCAACACCTGCAGCTCTTAACATCACAGGGTCTGTGCTCTCTCTGCGTGATCTTCTCAACATCACAGGGTCTGTGCTCTCTCTGCATGATCTTCTCAACATCACAGGGTCTGTGCTCTCTCCTTGCATGATCTTCTCAACATCACAGGGTCTGTGCTCTTTCTGCATGATCTTCTCAACATCACAGGGTCTGTGCTCTCTCCTTGCATGATTCAACATACAGGGTCTGTGCTCTTTCTGCATGATCTTTCAACATCACAGGGTCTGTGCTCTCTCTGCCATGATCTTCTCAACATCACAGGGTCTGTGCTCTCTCTGCATGATCTTCTCAACATCACAGGGTCTGTGCTCTCTCTGCATGATCTTCTCAACATCACAGGGTCTGTGCTCTCTCCTTGCATGATCTTCTCAACATCACAGTGCTCTTTCTGCATGATCTTCTCAACATCACAGGGTCTGTGCTCTCTCTGCATGATCTTCTCAACATCACAGGGTCTTTGCTCTCTCCTTGCATGATCTTCTCAACATCACAGGGTCTGTGCTCTTTCTGCATGATCTTCTCAACATCACAGGGTCTGTGCTCTCTCCTTGCATGATCTTTCTCAACATCACAGGGTCTGTGCTCTCTCTGCATGATCTTCTCAACATTACAGGGTCTGTGCTCTCTCTGCATGATCTTCTCAACATCACAGGGTCTGTGCTCTCTCCTTGCATGATCTTCTCAACATCACAGGGGTGTCTGCATGTCACAGGGTCTGTGCTCTCTCCTTGCATGATCTTCTCAACATCACAGGGTCTGTGCTCTCTCTGCATGCAGGTCTGTGCTCTCTCCTTGCATGATCTTCTCAACATCACAGGGTCTGTGCTCTCTCTGCATGATCTTCTCAACATCACAGGGTCTGTGCTCTCTCTGCATGATCACAGGGTCTGTGCTCTTTCTGCATGATCTTCTCAACATCACAGTGCTCTCTCTGCATGTGCTCTCTCTCCTTGCATGATCTTCTCAACATCACAGGGTCTGTGCTCTCTCCTTGCATGATCTTCTCAACATCACAGGGTCTGTGCTCTCTCTGCATGATCTTCTCAACATCACAGGGTCTGTGCTCTCTCCTTGCATGATCTTCTCAACATCACAGGGTCTGTGCTCTTTCTGCATGATCTTCTCAACATCACAGGGTCTGTGCTCTCTCTGCATGATCTTAACATCACAGGGTCTGTGCTCTCTCTGCATGATCTTCTCAACATCACAGGGTCTGTGCTCTCTCTGCATGATCTTCTCAACATCACAGGGTCTGTGCTCTCTCTGCATGATCTTCTCAACATCACAGGGTCTGTGCTCTCTCTGCATGATCTTCTCAACATCACAGGGTCTGTGCTCTCTCCTTGCATGATCTTCTCAACATCACAGGGTCTGTGCTCTCTCTGCATGATCTTCTCAACATCACAGGGTCTGTGCTCTTTCTGCATGATCTTCTCAACATCACAGGGTCTGTGCTCTCTCTGCATGATCTTCTCAACATCACAGGGTCTGTGCTCTCTCTGCATGATCTTCTCAACATTCTTCTCAAAATCCATTTCCAAAATTCATTTCATTTCATAATTCAATATCCAGCTTTGACATGCATATAAGAGAACAAACCAGACAACTTTCTATTAAGCAGACTTTTGCACTTGTAATGAAGTTCATTCCTGATATTCTTTTTAAAGAACCCTCACTCTTTAAGGTTTTTTGCGTATCCTTTACAGGACGTTGCAGAAACAACCCCAGCAGCACCAGGCTGTTGTGTGGTTTCTCTAGGCAAAATTACGTCCAGTAGTGCCATTTCTTTCTGGACGGTCAGCTTTCTTGATACCACTGTCGAAACCAACGCAAGGCGCATGGCCCGCAGCTGGGATGAACCCAGCATTCCGGCATTAAGAAGCGTTCGCATCGACAGAGCCACAGAGCTGACCGCTCTCAATTACACAATATGAACTTTTTTGAACGATCATTTCATCAGTTCCTTAATGTTCTCTCATGTTTTACATGTTCCGCTCCAGTCAACTGCTCCAGTCATCAAAACCTGGTCAGGAATCTACATCTTCCTAAGACCGTTTTTACTTTAACCCACACAACCCTCTTAACTCAAATTTAATAATCTGAAGTAGCAGTTGTCTGGTGGTGGGGAGTGGAGGTTGGAAAGAGCTATGGCTATCAATAAAATAGAGACAACAAAAAAAACATTACATTACTTGGCATATTAGCGGTATATTGTCAGGTAAATTATTACAGACTTGAATCAACTAAATTAAGCATCCTCACAAATCCCTTTCGCTGATAAATTGTGGAATGTACTGTCTGCATTCACATTATTTAATTTTACAATGGGGAAACATTTTTTTTTGAACAACAAACATACCAAGTCAACAGCATTGTTCAACTTTCCCACAGTGTCCAGTGTCCTCACTTTAGCATTCTGGTAGTTTCTCATTGCACGTTTGAACATTCTTTCCCTCAACTTCTTGCTGACGGTCTGAAAGTGGACAGCCACTCTCTGTGGGCTGGGCTCCATTTCTTCCATTTTCTCAACACTTTCGTCCTTTGCAGAATCATCAGAATCGTCATCCTCACCTTCTGCGACATCATCTGGAAAATTTTAACAAATAAAACTGTCACACATATAAACAGTTTAAAGATAACAGTATAACAGGCCAGTCAAAATTTAGATCCTTGCAAAAATAAACTAAATCATGCCTCGGTTGACAAAGATAATTCGTTCCAAAACCATTCAATAGCTGAAATCGTCATCAGTATAAATTTGATCTCCCGTAGATTTCTGAATAAAATTCCGCTCTAAATACAGCCTTGTCGGCATTCCCTAAACATTCTTTAGCGTTGGCCAAATCCAAATTTGCTGGCCGAGGAAAAAACAAATATCTTTATCAGCTGAAATATTTGTCAGCGGGGTTATTTGTTAGCTGAGATATAGCTGTACTTGGAAAATTATCTGACACAACATGAGATAGTGACACCAACAGCAATTCAGGCAGTCAGATTTAGTAGGCACAAATATTCTGGCTTTGCACTTTAACCCTTTTAGCACGGGAAGTTTTTCAGAGGTCTAGCCAATAACACGGAGCATTTTTTCAGTGAATTTGGTTATTACTTTATTTAATTTTTTTTGACAGATTTCTGTTATTCTGACCCCTATGAAATAATATATCTATTTGAAGGATATAGATTGAAGTTCATGATTTTCACAATATCGTTAAAATTAATTGATGTATATGCAAATTATCTCATTTGCATATCTAAAAGTAGAAAATATGAATTTGAATTTTCAACTTCAATGCTTGAAACATAAAACTAAAAACAAAATTTTTTTTTATTTGAAATCTTTTTAATGATCTTTGGCCTTTTTACAAATGTTGTAAGCAATTCAAAAGTCAAAAACAGGTATATATATGTGAAACAGCAATAATATCTTTAGGTGACATGTGTTTTTCACCATCAGTCAGCACTAGAAATGGATGTGCCGGAGTGTCAACACCTTCGGGTGGATATACCCTGAGCCATGGTTGGGCTGTGGTCTGAACACAACAGCGTCCCCATCTGATTCCCACTATTACTACTAACACTAAATCCTGCATCAGTATCAACGGAATTAGTGTCATCACTTGATTCAAATGTTTTATCAACATCAAGTTTAGGGGCAGAAACATACGAGTCAGACATACTTTTAGCGGTTCAGGTCACTATCTAAAAAATTCAACAACAATTTTCACTTCGATACCAAACACTCGAAAGTCGCCATGTGTAAAGCTGATACCGCAGTTAATATAAATGAATCATTTTCAGTGTTTCAAAGTAGGAGATTTCTTAGCGGTTCGAGGCGAAACACGATCGGGCCGATCATCGGCCGTTCCGTGTTTTTGGCCAGACATCCGCCGGCCGATAATCGGCCCGTCCGTGCTAAGAGGGTTAAGTATTTGGAAGTATCAGCCACAAATACCAGCCCTACACCATTTAAAGAGTTAATCACAATTTCTTCTTCTTCTTGCTCACCGGCTGGAAACTCTTGACAAACAAGTTCTGGTTGTTTGCCCATATCTGGACTGAGTCTTGTTCCAGAACTAGTTTTTTTTTTCTTGTGCATGCATATTCGTTTTACAAATCTGACTTGTTTGTAAGCAGACTACTGGTTCCTTGCCTCTTAGGCAGATGGACTCCAACTTCAAAGGAAACACCCATAATTAGTAGACTTTTACAACAGACTTTGGGGAAGGGGGAGGGGGGCTGACAAGTAATCCATTTTTTCCTCCAAAATGGGGTCCCTGAGCTCAAGGAAGATAATCATATATAAAACATAACTCTTCCTCTTTTTCATCTTTTGTAATCTCACTGTTACCAGTTGTAACCCAGTGTCATGGTTTTCTGAATTTGTCTTGTGCTTCTCAGGTGGCTTGAGTGATGGATTTGTTAAACTTTTTGCAGGCTTCATCTACACCATTTATCTATGACTTTCTTGGTCTTCGTCTCACATGCAATCTTGTCTGGCTGCATTCTCACCAGATGGCCGAACCATTTAATTCTTTGTCAATTCAGACATGGTCTTATTCCAACTTTCTCTCTAATGCTGGTATTCAGAACTCTGTCTTGTATAGTGTTGTTAGCGACATTGCGGAGACAGCGCATTTCACATGCAGTTATTTTCTCTTCTAGTGCCCTATTAATCGTCCATGTTTGGCACTGATAACATAAAATAGAGATTACTCATTTGCTGTTTCACTGGAAGGGAGACATTTGGGTGTCTAAGCAGTGGGAGCTAACTGGTAGTAGGTGATAGCATTTGCCTTCTGCACTCTGGCTTCTATCTCTAGTCCTCTTAATAATCAATAAAAAATATCTTATCCTATACCGTCTTTATTTCTGTGTTTAAAAATGAAACAATAGAAAATCTCATACATTTCTTTGGTTCCTCTGGGATATAGCGGTCCACCAGTCCTTCAGCACATGTGAGAACACCATCAACAGTTCGTGTCACCAGACGGCCCGGAGGCGAATCTAGGGTCATATTCACAGCCTGACTGACAGTGTTCACTCCCAGATCACGAGCACCTGTCACCAAATTCTTGCCACCTGTCTTCACACGTTCCACCTATCAAACAAACAAACAAAAACACAAAAATTGAAATTAAGAAGTCAAACCAACAATGGGAAACAATTTTACAACAAAGTGTTCCAAATATGTGCAATTTTAGTTCTATTTTGGCAATTCTGCAGAGATATAGTGGTTGCATGACTGCCAACTGTGCAGTCCACATTGAATTCCCACTTTTCTTTTTTTCTCTAAAATTCACAGCAGTGGCAGAAACACTGGCTTCAAGACAGTATGACTCTCAGGTAAACCCAAGACTCCAGAAATAGGTAAAGTTAGCCGCACATCTTTCACAGGACGTTGCAGAACCAACCCCAGCATTTTTTTTTCTCTAGGCAAATTATAGGTCCACTAGTTTGCATCTGCTTTCTGACCGGTCAGCTCTGGATACCACTGTTGAAACCAAGGCAGGACAACCTGTCCGCACCTGGGATCAACCAGAAATGGATATCAGATAATATTTAGATCTTTCTAAGCAGGGCAGTATTATTTCAGCATTATATGCAGACTCCTTATCTCCATTTTTAACTGCACACTTTGCTGACCTTTCAGAGGCTATCCACACGAGGGTCATCAATGATTTGCCTGCATTCTCTGACTGGCATAAATCTGCCTCTCTGCAACCACCCAAGTGTTCAGTTCTGAAGTATCTGCTTAACATGGTGGCCCTGGCACAAAAGTGAACTATGAAGACGCTAGCCGTTATTTTTCAGAACCAAGTTAACACAAAAGTGTTTGGTCTCTATCAGTAGGAGGTATGAAAAGGTTTGCATGCTATGATTAGGATAATGAAATTATGCTAGTATACAAACAAAATGTGTACCTGTTTGACACTGGTATCCACAACACCTTGTACATATGTGACCACTGGCTTGACCCGTTCAACCACAGGCTGCACATACTCCATACAGGCATCTTTCACCTGATAAACAGCAAGAATTAAAACACATAAGAATATTCCTTCTGGTATCAAGCATACAATCCAAAAGTACTACATGTAATAAAAACAAGCATTCACAAGTTTGTTTTAACCTACATTTAAAACACCCAAAATGAAGGAAAAAACTGTTCCATGCCTTTACCGTCAGCTTCTCCCAAAATGATGAACTTTTATACAATAAAATAGCTTTAGATACGTTCTATATTAGGTTAATAGAAAATACAAGAAAATTCTCTGTATCACGACATACATAAGGTTTCCCTTTCTCATCATAAGATGAGCCAAAAGAATGAGGATTGTTCTCTTCTGATTGAGAAACCAGCTCTTTGTGAGTGGAATGTAAATAAGCATTGAGCTATTATATATATATATATTTCCCTTTGTGTTGAAAGTTTAAAAACATATTTAAAACATACATCACTAAATGTATACACATAGATACAACTACAGCTTACCTCCTTCGATGGTTGCTTGACCAGTGGATACTTGTTTTCGATAGCATCCAATTTATTGCAGGCATAGTTGTTGACAGTCTCAACTGTAGATTAAAGCAGAGAAATTAGTTTTAGAAATCACAACTACAAAAATATAAAAATGAATGTGACTACTAAATAAATTTGTCAATGAAAGCATTACATAAGAAACTGCAGAGACATCATCCGGTTTTTTAAAAAGGATACAACTCATGAACGCAGGTCCAGAAAGAGAGTGACTTTCCTTGCCATTCATCCCTGGTCATGTTGTAAAACCTGTCCTATGTTGCGGGGGTGTCACGCTTAGTAAGCATCCAGCAACACAATGAATTTTATGAAGTGTTGTCACGACCGGCGATATCGTGTGGTCTGTATTGCATGAACTGAGCGCTTTTAGCAGTCCCAAAACATGTAGAACTGGCCATAAGCTAAAACACCTCAGAGCACAGAAGAGGTCCCAGTGACATAACATGCCTCTTGCCCTCTTACAATGCACCCCACTACCACCACCAAATGTGAATTACTCTTGTGATTCACACATTTTTCATCAGCTGGATTCCTTCCTATTTGTTTCTAGGTTACTAGGGCAAAAGGGTTAGGCCAACTCAAGAGTGAGATGAACGCCACTATTTCCGTTCTATTATAAACATGCCTTTTTACTCTTCATGAAAATCTAAAGAATGATTTCCAGAGAGACGGTGAAGCACATGCGTGCATGGAAGTCTTGAAACCAGTAAACATTCTACTTTCTACCTCACATTACTAAACACAAAACTTACTCTGTGGCTGAAAATGACTGATCACAGGAGAAGACAACTCTGCAGCCTTTTTCACCCCAGACTCTGTGGCATCCAGGGCCAATTTTGTCAGAGAGTTGTAGTCCTTGACTTTGGCATAATAGTTGAGTGCAGTGTTCCAGCTATCATTTAAAACTGGTATCTCCCCCAGTTTGTTGAAAAACTGCTCCTCGTTTGGTGCCGCTGTGGTGGTCTCTTTTGGTGGTGTGGTGGTCATTGTTGCAAGTTTCTGGAATAAATAATTTGTTCAACAATTTATGATAAATCAAATGTAACCAATATTGATAAATATAGGTGAAATCAGCTTCTTTACAACTTGTGAATGATTTATCAACCGAATGGAGAATTAACCTTCTTAGCTTTGCTTCTGAATTAAAGAGAATTCCTCAGAAGATGTTACCTCTGGACGACCACAGGATTTGACACTACTGAATTATTTTTATCGGAGTCAATGCATCTGGAACAAATCCAAAAAAGGTTGTCATCGCCTTGATGAAATCTGTACCAACATTCTTGAATGCATTAAATAAATACACAAATATCTGACTCAAGAAATTAGAGTTGACCAACAAAATGATGAAAGGGCATCATGTAAAACAGATGACTGTAAGTATGTCAAACTCTTGGTGGATGATACAGAGCTTAGAGTTAAGGAATTTGGGCTATCCTCCGAATAACGGTCCCAAATTATTGAGGCCAAAAATATACCCTAACAGGGCCTCAGTCACATGTCAATTGCAGACTTCCGACAACTTAAATTGCGCACTTCCGGCGACTTTCGCCACTATTGAGGGTATCTCCCACGCCGCGCGTAGCGGCATTGATTGGGGCTAAACTAGATGGCTGGGACTCACGAGCAGCAGCTACCGCATCTCCTGCAGCTTCCTTTATTTTATTTGCTCATGAGTCCCAGCCATAAATAAACCAGAAGACAGACAACAAACTGGCATGCTCCCTGCCACAGACAATCACGTCCAGGGAAACGAGGTTTTGTGTGCTGGTCAAATATGGCATGCCTGCCCGATGGTGGACATTCTGAATGCATGACTGTAGTCTGATGTATCATCTGTATTATCTCAACAAACAACTTGCTGCTGAAGCTGAGGATGCAGCGCTTATGGGAATGTCCCAAGTGCTATGATGTTGATTTAACAAACAAGAACATTTTTATGTGAGATGGTGTCTACTTGGGTCTGGCCCCAATCTTCCTTCTGAGCCCTGACATGCACTTCACTTAGCTCATATTCTTTTCAACTGGCCATTTAGTCATTCCAAAGACAGCATTGTGTTCTTGTTTGTCTTCTACCACAGATAAGTGCTATATTAACTCTACTTATCTGAATTATAAATGTACCTACTATTCCATGTTGGGAGACCTAGGTTTAAAATAAATCCTCGGTATGGCCTTGGATATTTTTCTGTCATGGGCAAAAATAAAAACATTGACCTTTCTACGCTGGGACTCTGTCCGTTATTTTTCCCCAATATCAACATTTTGGCCACTTGGTAAACTTAGTTCAATATCCCAGATCCAAAACAATTAACCTGGACCAATATCTCTTGATATTTTTGCGTAGTATTAGTATTATGACAAACAATGGCGTCTGCTGGTTATCACAAATCACCCAAATAAAAAATAAAAACTACGAAATAAGCTAAGAATGCATCTCGTGAACTTGAGGAAAACCAGAAATCAATGATCATGACATAATGTTATTTTAATATGTAATTCCCGCAACAACAAAAATAAAATCTCTACAATCACCACATCCTCTACTTTTAACAAAGAGATATATAAATCAGGCTGGGCAGAAGGTATTGACTTAATGGCAGATTATTTTAACGTTTTTTCGCTCTGCAATTTGATTTGTTGTTTGTGTCTAACTGTCTTTCCTTACAAAGGAGAAACATTGCTCTCATTTACAGTAGTAATACAGTAACGATATGCCACTTAACTACTAACTGTAACGATACTCACATCGTAAGATTATCAGCGAGTCGTTGCGAATGCAAAGTATTCTCGAAGTCTAGAGAATCGACAGAGGTCCCCCAGTTTATATAACTTGTTTACAACGCCCTAGAGAGACCTTTGACCCCGATGGTTTCACCAGAATTTTCCCCAGGTCCAAAGTCCAAGTCTGCTGCCGCACGTCTGCTGCTTGAGGTCAAGGCTGTCGAAATTTATTTTTTAGAATAGTACCACATGTTTTAAAAAAGTACAAAAACGAACCAAAAGATGAAATATTTTAATTTTAGTTAAAAAGCATTAAAACATCTCTAAACACACGCACATAAACATACATATGCACACATATCACTGGCTAACCATATAATTGATCAGAATTTAAATTCTGTGTCCATTACATAATTTTCTGTACCATTTGTTTTTAATCCGCTTAGTTTGTCACACAGCTTTTGTGACGATTCCAGTGGATGCAATTAATGTCCTGGAGCAATAAATTTAATCTTATCAATACATTTATTGTTGAAGTCTTCAAAGAAGACTTATTTTCCAAATATAAATATCGTCAAGCAGAAAACAAAACTCTTTTTACATCTAATGCAAAAAAGACTAAACATAAATGTTGATACTAATTGTAAGCGATTCTTTGTCTTTATTCTTCCGGAAATTGTAAACCATATTTTTCTGGTGTTTTTCAGACTAAGTGCTGATCTTGCACAATTAGTTTCGTCCATTCTTTATTTATTTGTTCAATAATGTTCTTCTTTAACGAGGCTGTAACATAACATGACCAATGGCATATGTGGCGTCTACGTTTCTCCAGGAACATTTTTTTGCTCCAATGTATAATTTCAACATTTAAAATATTCTGGCAAAATTTGTCAAACGTATCAAAACAGGCCATGGTATCAAAAGTAGTTTTGCTCGGCAGAGGACAAATAGTTCTAAATGTGTATGAAAATACCAACTTCGACAGCCCTGCATGTGATCGCACTTTCTATTCTTAGCTCTCGTGGAATTTTCCGATCTGTTTATAGAAGCACTGACCAATTCTTTCCCTCGCAGCCAGTGTTGCCACTTTGGATCTTTTATATCCAAAGTTAGATTTTTTCATTGCATTTAGATACTGTTTTTGACGTTTAGATCGTAAATATTTTTATAGAAACTTTTCATATGGAGTTAGATATTTTATAGATTTTTTCTTTCATTGTCAGTTTAATAATTACTGTGTAAAATATTTACTACAATATTTTTGTTTTGATCTGGCACGTACATTGTGAAAACTGCCATTACTTGAACTTTGAACTCTCACTGGGGTCAACGCACAAATATCTGGCAGCCCCGGTACTGATTAATAAAAACGCGCGTAAATCATACTAACTCTGTTTCAACCGTATCCTCACTGTGCTGACTTTGCTTTCTTTTTTCATGTGATTTTTAAAAAAAAATTGCTCACCTTCTTATGTGGCTTTCACTTTGAAAAGACTTTCAACATGCCAGAAGTAAAGTATGAGCAAAAAAATTTGGAAACAGTGATTGCATGATGACAAAATAAAAAACTGGGGATATGACCAAAGCTTGTTGTAAATACTGCAAGTGTGAAATTAAAGCGAAAATACAAAACTCACAGAGTCATGCAGTGACTAAAAAAGTATAAAACTGCAGTTTCGTTTAAAGATATTTCACCGCTGATATCTGTTTTCAGAACTATACTGATAAATGAATCATCAAAAGTTGAAGTATCAGTCGCAATGTTTTTAATTTGTCACTGCGCAATTTCAGACTGTGACCATTTGATCGATTTGTGAAAAATCTTGGACTAGTTCAATTTGAAAAGTGTGGTGTAGAAAGTATAGTTTAGGAACTGAAGGTCCTTTTAATCAGCAAACAGTTAGGCTTGAAGAATTTGGCTGTAATTGGTACTGATAATGCCTCAGTGATGGTTGGTATAAACAATGGCGTTTATGCCAAGTTGAAGGAAGCTAACCCATCGTTAATACTTATAAAATGTATGCGTCTTTCATTGCAGCTAGCATTATCACATGCTTCATCTAAATATTTACCAAGGAATTTTGAATACTTTATTGCTGAAACACTTTACTGGTTTTCCAAATCATTTGTCAGACAACAGCAATACAATACATTATATACAGCCTTGAATGATGGTTCCACACCACCGAAAATTCTGTCAGTTTGCAAAACTAGATGGTTATCAATTTAACCAGCTGTTGAAAGAATTATGAAGCAATGGCTGAAGTTGAAGACACACTTTGAAATAACAAGACAGAGTGAAAAGTGCTACACAGCTGAAATACTATATGGAATGTACAGTGATGAAAAAAATTGTCATTCATTCTCTTTTTATAACCTATTCTAATGGAAGTGCAAAAAGTTAGTAAACTGTTCGAATCTAAACTTGTTGATAAAGTTAAATTACTTGATGATCTGACCTTGCTATTTCACTCGGTAAAAGACTGGTGTTGCCAACTTCTAAAGCTGATTTGCTCACTTGCACTATAGAGAGCTATTTAGCTCCTAAGCCACACCTTGGATATTAAATCGAATCAAAAATTGATGATTTAAAAACAAAAGGACTGTTAACAGAGAATGAAGAGAACAGCTTAAGAAAACGCTGTCAAGATTTCCTTATCTCATTATTGAAGCAATTGAAGCATAGACTTCCTGAAAATCTAGATGTTTTGAAAAATATTTCACTTTTTTCTGTGAGCAACATACTTCAGCCAATAAAGGACATACCTAAATATTGTAAAGTTATGAAATTGTTAGGGGCTACTGATAATAGTGTCGCGGAAGCAGAATATCTGTTAACCAAAATAAAGTTAGATGAATGGACAAACCAAAACAGAAACTGAAGCGTTTTGGAGTGAAGTGAGACAATTTAAAGATGCCTCATCAAACAGTCCATTCTGTAAGCTCTTTAAAGTGCCATGTCTGCCATGATACTACCCCACTCAAATGCTGACGTAGAAACAGTTTTTAGTGCTAGGAATTATATCAAATCTAACCTAAAAATCAGGATTAAATTTGACCTCTTAAATGCTATCGTGCCATTAAAATTCGGCCTGATGAGACTAGAGAAATAAGCCTACTGTTACACTTAAAAAGAAATTTGAACAGCTAAAGCAGACCAGGGTCATTTTGGATCTGAAGCTTCAACTTCATTATCCAAGCTAAGTTTATCCTGTGGATCTTGTGAGGCAGACATCAGTGAAGGTGAGGACATGATTATGTAG